TATCACCAGACTTTGACACATTGTTCTGTCAGGAGTATTAACTGCTTTTCATAATGTTTGTTTCCTTTTACCTGCTTTCCTGTTGGTCTTTTATCCTGAGGCAGCCATCTTGAAAATTGGGTATAATTTCAAGTGTTGTCTGTGTATTGTCACCCAGATCCTTAGGCAGCTGCTTGTTCCGTATACTTGGTATATGCCTACACCTTCTTTGGTATATGGTGTCTGTGCGTTAAATCATATATTTGACAGATAAATTCAAGATAATTGGTATTTAATTCAGAAGCTTTTGTCTATGTTCTGTCATTTTCTTCTTACAAAAGTAACTACAAACAAATACCTGGAATTATACTAATTTGGGTTTTCTATTCTGAGATTCTGAACCATTTATTTATGAACGATATGGAAGGCTGTATCACACTGTGCTATTGTTCATATAAATTAGAACCCAAGATTTTACCTGTTATAGCAAATTAATATGGCTTTGTGACAATAGAAAAACTGTCGGGAGATGAAAGAAACAGTTGCTTGGTAATAATACCTACATAAACTTTAAAACACCAAGATATTGGTTCTACGGAACTTCAGATTAAAAACACATGCACTATAATTTTGCCTATTGATAATTACCTTTTGAAGAATCTGTTGGTCCCTGTGTAAATATTTGCTGTTAAGCTCTTTATATTTTCACCGATGCGGAATATTGATGTCATATTATGTCAAGGAAATGGGTGTTTTAATAAGGCGCCCAAACACTTCTAAGTAGAAAGCCAAGATCTGGTTTCATGTTGTATTGTTAACACGATTGACATATCTTTTTCACACCTTTTAATATGGATTTTCATCAAAAGGGCCACTTGATCAGTTTACACATATACATGATAGATGTGAAAACACAAAACCAATGTTGGGATGATGATATTGACAAAGTAAAAATGATGAAGATTGTGTTTCAGATACTGTTTATTTTAAGGTTTAATCAATCTGGAGGAATCTGGCATGGATTAGAAGCCAATAAAAGGTCAGGAATCTGCAGTATGAAATAGGATGAAATCGACCCCATTTTTAACAGTCTGTCTTAAATCTCACTTTTAACATGTGAACTACCTGTCTCTTCACTTCTAATGTTAAATACTCTAAATGATAATCAGAAGTATAAACAGTTGGTTCAATAGGTACTGTATGTTGTGTTCTTCTTATATGTGCCTAAGGTTGACTAGAATGAACAACCGGGGATTTCAGCTCAATTTGAGACAATTGAATTTTCCAGTGATTTTCTCCTAACATTTACAAATGCAAGATTCCGTTTGAAACTTGATCTCTATGCAATCATATCACACACAGCAGTAATCAGTTTATGAAGGACTTGAGAGGGAACTGATTTAATCAGAGGGCTCTAAATTGAAAACTGACCCTTCTGAGTTAGTTATCTCTCATTCCAATGTGTTTTCATTAGCAATGATCGCACTCGAATCTCTTGTCTTAAATAAATCGGCACTTGTCGAACTTAATCAAAAGCAACGGCATGATAAATCAGTGGTTTCAGTTTAAACAAAGCGATATTGGATTTTTGCCTGTATTTAAGATGATTAACAGTAATTTGGATGAAAACTCAAGCATCAATGTTTGTTTTCCATTAGTATTTATACATATTAAATACATAATCCTTTTCAAAATTCCATTCGTCATTAAGCACGTTTAGTAGCCAACTTGCACTTATTAGCCCAAAACTGACATCGACCCATGTTGGATAAATGAACAATGTTTATTCTGTAGATTATTCCGCTTTTGTCAAAACTGGACTTTGGTTTTGTTCAGTTTTCTTACAGGACTTCCCAATACCAACATTGTGGTTGATACTGGAGTCAAACAGTACGCTGTCAAAATTCAAGTATGTGTCAGGGATCTCTGGTATGTCTGATGTAGGATTTGTGGTGATGTTCTCATTATCATTGATATTGTTTATGTATTAAAAACTAATTACAATAAACCGGTAGATAAGTGTAACTGTTAGACGTATTAACCTTTGTGGTTGTTCTGGTTTGTGAAATAGCCAAAACAAATCTTAGGAAAATTGATTTCTAAAGCTGGTGTTTTATTCTCATTATTTGTGAAGGTGAATTAGGAATGATACATGCTTAAGTGAAGTAACAGGATCTTCAATGTAGAAAAATTGCTTCATGACCTTGATTCCTTCCATGCTCATGGAAGTCAACTGAAGATCCGGCAACAAGGCAATGTTGTTAAATTGATGAATGTAATAAGGTGTCTACTGAGAGCTATGATGCTCCTGGAATTCTAACTTAACTTGAAAGTTGAAAACAACACCTTATTCTAACAGAAATAGACAAATTACCACTTTGAAAAATCAAGTCATTTTTCCTTTTGTCCATTAACCAAGCAAATGTGTGATCACCCGGAACTAGCCTGGCTCTTGAGGGTTTAGTGCCCAATGATATGGACAATTCAGGTGGCATTATCTTTGTTTTATCATCCAGGATTACAATATCTTGGTGAAAGATATCAATAACATGCCTATCCTGATGGATTCTATAGCATATAGTGTACAATTAGACCTGATGACCAGATTAGAAGATTAATACTCTGGGCGGGAGATTAAAAACAGGGTCATGTTGCTTAGCATTACAGGTTACCATGACAACATTGTTTCTTTATACCTATGGGTATTGTTACAGACACTATTGTTATCATCAGATTTCTTGAAAATCTCATTGGATTTATGAAGATATATGTCCTGCAGATTGGTCACAGTCTCTTGGGTTCTATTATTGTTGGCCAATTCTGTTGTTTGTGTAATTCAAGTAGCAAGCAATCACAGATAACAGCAGTTCCCCAAACCACAAAACAACTGACCAATTGAATATCTGGGATCCTATTCAAAGAAACAACTGTCTTAGACATTGACAGGTTCAGGAGAATTACTTTAATTGGAAATCTGTCTGGATGACCTCAGAATTCTGCAGATGCTTACATCATGGGATCCCATTCCTTGTACTTGATCCAAACTGTAATATAATCATGCAAAATCTAACTTGATGTCAGTTAGTCTTGGACAGATCTGTACCCATTTCTATAGTCATGAAGGATGTTTAGATAGGTTGTTGTATTTTGGTCAGTTATGCCCGGGAGTGACCAACTCCACTAAACAAAATACTGATGGTGTATTGTTAATCTAATGATAATATCCATCATGCTTGGGGGAGGTAGCTTACTCTTCAAAATGAGAATATTCACTTATCATGGTTCAGTTGGTTGTTCTACTTTCAAATAATGTTGCGTTTAGATGGTTTGTTAACTTATAGCACAGTTATATGATGTTTTATCAGGTAAACTGAAACATCAACTTGATGGTGTTCAAGTATCCCAAGTAGGATGTAGTATGCAGTTAAGTACCTAGAGACGTTGATGAAATATCTAGTGAATTATTTCCAAATCTGTGATGATATAGAGCCATAAAGCATGCAAGTTTAGAGCTTGGTTCAGCCAGCATTAGAGCTCTCAACAGCTATTATTACAAAATAGGCAGATTTTTAAACACAGCTGGTTCTTAATACTAACCAACTCTATGGCGAAACATGGAATGGTATTAGAGTATATTGTGAGACTCAAAGCTGATATAAATATACAGGGTGAAGAAAGCTGTTAGAGAAATAGGTGCTTTGAAATAAATACTCCCCCATGCTTGTGTCTTAAGCGCCTTTATCTTTTTATACAGTCTGTTTTTTATCAGTGAAGTTTCAGATCATCAGAGCCGGCATATTGGAGATAACATTCATCTCAAGTCACTTTCAGGTCTGGACATTAACAAATAGTGAATAGAAAGCCTATAATTGAGTCACACATTTTCTGATAGATCCGATCAACTGTATACTTATCTCATTTTATTAGAACATGGCGAAAGCTCGCTATAAAAAGACTGAATTAATGTCAGTTATGGTTATATATAAAGGCCTTTGAGATTTCGGCTTCTGTTCCTGATTGCTTTATATGTTATCAAAAGTTGGAAAATATAAAAAGTTGTCCTGAGTGATTAATCATAATATGGTCATTATTGTAAATCAGCAATTTAAAGCATATATTTTTGAAATAATTAAATCAAATGTGATTTGGCTGATCAATGCTTCCCACTGATACCTATTGTGGGAAAAGTTATTTTTTGACCAATTTATCTTCTTTAATATGAAATTACCTTTTCATCAAGGTTGACAATGCCTTTGGGTAGAGATAGAGGTTCTATGCCGAGACCTCATACAAGCTCAGTGTTTAGACAAGCCAGGCTCTACTGTCTTTACACACTCCCGAATAGCATTTTATCTTCTAGTAATGTATAGCTCCCATTGCCTATGGCCCAGATCATATTTCTTAGCCCAATTATAATATTTTACCTACAAATAAGTTTGTGTTTTGATGGTTTTGATAGCAGAAGGAGACCTGGGAGAAATATCAATGTTCCTGGTACTATAGAAAACCAAAATTTTGATCTTCCCCTTTATTTTTTAAAACGTCACACACATCCATATACTGAACTTGTAATACCTGCCAGTGTTCATTTTGTTGTGGCAAGCCTTATGTTATATACACGTATAAAAGAAATGCGATTATGATTGATATTCACAGTATATATATCTGAAGATTTATCCAATATTTTCCTCAAAAGACTTGATGTGTTACAGAGGAAATATTGATGCGAAACAGCCCTTGAATTCTCCTAACAAAGCTTTCCATTCAAGTGTCATAGTCTTTGCAGAGTATAACAGTCATGTTATGGCACTATAGCTCTGAGCTGAAATCAATGCTCTGAATTATGATAGAATGTTTTGCTTTTGCTAGATCTATATTTATAAAAGGTTGTTCATTTAGCTAAGTACAAATAAGTTCCTGTCCTGCATAATGAGTATGATACGCATGTTCAAAATGATAAATCCCACCACTGCCACCAATTGTAATGAAATATTTATTTTTTATTTTCTTGTGTTTTTCAGTGGAGGGAGGTGAGCTATAGTGAGAACAATGATGTTTGGAGAATACATACTGTATGTGCCGTCTCCCTCACTGGAGTCAACAACTGGGTGCGTATGCCCTACATACCACGTGGTAACGCCAACAGACTCTATATTGAAATGAAGTTTAGTATGAGGACTTGTGATGAGTACCCTCACCCAGAAAATCTCAGTCAATGTAAGGAAACATTTGATTTACTATATTATGAAGCAGAATCAGACTTTGCTAATTCGATGATGCCAACTTGGGATGCCAGTACATATAAGAAACTTGACACAGTCGCAGCCGACAGAAAATTTACCGATATCAACCATGCAGAGATTAACACTGAAACGAGGAGCATTCCTATCACACGTAAAGGAGTATACTTCGCTTTCCGGGACATGGGCTCATGTACAAGTCTCATCAGAGTGAAGGTCTATTACATTCAATGTCCCAGTACTGTTGTCAATTTTGCTATATTCCCTAACACCTCAACTGCTCAGGTTGTGACTGATGTTGTGCAGACCACAGGGCGCTGTGTAGAATATGCCGCAGCGGAGCGAGAACCCTCCTATCTATGCAAAAGCAGTGGTATTTGGTATTTGCCCAGTGGAGGTTGCAAGTGCATATCAGGATACCAGCCAGAGGGACAGTCAAAATGTACAGGTATGTCATACTTTTGCATTGTTTTAGTTTGCTTTTTGTCAAGTTTCTTGTGTTCATGTTCCCTCATATTCTCTAAATATTTTCCACTGTTTTGTGTTATTTAGAGGGACGGTGATACAAAGTGTTAATTCAAGTCTAGATATTATTTTTCTGGTAACAAAATAGGTGGCATTAGGTCACACAAGTTCAAATCATATAAAAAGGAATTAAATCAGATTATGGCCATTGTAGTTGATATATACAGGAGTATAAATGAATATTTTATTGCAGCATTTTCTATTTCAAACTGAATCTGAAATGTATATTCAGCTGTATCCAGGGTTTTAGTATATTTGCTCACCAGTAGTAACTTTACCACATTATATCCTTGTGCCATGTGGCTTTATTTAGAATGACCATTAAAAACTTCTGTGGTTAAAAAAATCATCTCTAGACCTTAAGTTTTATGTCAAAAGGTAATAAGTCATTTCAAGGATTTGAAATCTTCAATGTAGGATTTATATTTATGTTTGCTATCCAGGGTTAGGTCTTTGTGGGTTAATGGTTTGGCCCTGAAGATGTATAGTGGGGGTTGTACAGCAAGAAATAGCTGTCCCCTTTCTCTTTGTGAAACAGATACTTTATGTCCCTATTTGAATGTAGTAATTAAAGTCTTGTAAACACAACTTAGCGACAACTTGATCACAAGCTTACTCTTGATATATAGCCAGCCTTGGTCAGAGGTCCTGTACAATGACACAAAATGATGGGGTAGGGGTAAATAAGGCCGAAGCATTATAGCTTATCTTTTGGGTCCAGGTGGGAGGCGTGGTACATTGTGGGGAACATTTCTCCACATTGACACTATCATAACCAAAAAGATGGTTGACAAATCGATTGAATGATGTTTCAATTGCTTGATGTCTCCATTTGTCAGGAACATGTGGTTATAATGTCTAAATTTCATTCTATTTTTAATCATCATTATTTCAGTCCTAGAATAACCGATTATCTGAGCACATGTATGTTTTATAGGTTGAACTCAAAATCACCCTGGTTACCGTTATAATGAATGGATAAAAATAATTACTGGGATGCAAAATGGTCATTTTGTTATTCCATATAAGATATATGGGAAATCTCAGTTCCACTCCTCCCAGTACTATTAACAACATGTAGGTTTCTCTACCTACCAGACCAAAATAACATGTTAAGGCCATTTTAGATTGATCGAGCGGTACTTTACTGGGCAATTTCATTCATTTTCAACAGTTTTGTGAATATTTTCGTTATTGTTTGAAGAATAAAAAACTAATAGCTGGAAGGGGTCATAAATTGATAAAAAGAGTGACAGAATTATAATTTTGAATTCACTCACTCTCAAGTGTGGCTCCTCTATTGAGGACAATTTGAGGCGATCGGGAAGAGCTGAATTGAGGTCCTTCGGTTTATTCAAAGTGCTATTTTTTAGGTCATACAATTCAAAATTATAAGATACCTGATACAACATCTAAACATTGCGCTTTTTTATGCTTAACTCAGTAGCCAGGAGGGAGTCATAATTGAATTTAGTGCATCTAGGTTGAAAATATGCTTGATGTGAACATCTAACATGACGTGACATTTCAAGGCACCAGCGTAAAATCATTTCTCATTTCATTGTTGCTAAGTTGCCCATTTTCTGCTATTAACACCTTATTACAGTTGGCAATCAATATTATAAAGCTATGACATGAAAATGTGAAAAATGTTATAAGCTCCTATGTATATTACAGCATATGTTGTGATTTTATTCAGTTATGTCTCAAATCATCAAAATGTTGCACTGTGTCATTCAGGATATCTGTTGTTATGATTGTGAGTCAAGATCAATCTTTGGTTATGGTCTATTGTGCATGTTATATGGTCATACGTTGGTGGGCTGTGGTCAGAGGGTTGAACCAGTGCAAAGAGCAGTTCACTCTCATGTTATATCATCTCAAGGGTACCTGAGTGTCACAGTCAATGCACCTTCCCCCTTAGTCAATGATTCGGACATACCCAAAGAAATCTTGATGATTCTAGGTATATGGGTATGGGTATGATATGGGTATTAGGAAGGCTTGCTACCTAAGTGTGGCAGGTAATATATCTATTCTAGCCATTGTCCCCTTTCTGTGTTCTTTGTGTACTGTGTCAAGTGAAGATCTAAAGATATCCTGGCTTAGGGTTAGATCTAGAAAGCTGGCCAAGGGTTGGATGTAATAAGAGGGCATGTGTCAAAAGTGTGACTGAATGCAGTGGCTGTTGCTGTTCCCATAGCCACTGATGTGTAAGATACCATGACTGAATCAATGTTGAAATGAGATTATACACCTTGGATAAACTAAATAGGGTTAAAACAACAATTGGTTCAGTGCATCACCAAAGCCTACTGCCTTGTCATCACAAAGTCCTTTTAAGTCTTCATTATTATCTGTACTTCAATGGCTAAAACCTCAATCCAATAACATACATTAAAAGATGTTTTCATAGCTGTTTGTGAATCCTTTATAGGCTTATACTTTCCCAGTATGTCCAAATATCTCAATGATAGACTCTGTCTAATGGTCACAATAGAAAAATTGATTGATGTCACCATTTTCAAGATTGAAAATAATCCGAACTCTATGTCAATAGTTCGACCACTGACCAGCACAAGTTGCGTTATTAACATCTTGAATTTAATTAACATTTGAAATTAAATAATAATTAAAGATAAAATTTGCTGAATTACATGTATTTTGATATTGAGTGAGATTAGGAATCAACAATAGAATCAAGAAATTATTCAAGCTGCATTGTCTCACCAATTCCTGGTATTTCTGGGTTTTAGAAAATGTTGGTTAATATTCAGTTTCTTGGTTATTAAAATAGTTTTTCATTAACTTTTAACCAGACAACATTTTGGTCATAAGTTGTTGCTAAATAGTGCGAATGATCCAGTGCATAATACTCCTTGTAGAGTACAACATGCTCAATTTAAACACCAAAGAGATGGTGGGAAACAAATTAAGAAATTATGGAAATTTGGTGTAAGGGTAAAAGACTTAATGAGGAGGTTATTAAAAGTGCACAGGGAATATTTTTGCGTCTTTTTGTGATTCAATTTTCTATTGAGTTTGCCCAGCTGAATGCATAGATAAGTATAGTTAAGAAATTATTAATGATGTTAGGTTGAAAAGTCGGCCCTGAGCCCTTGTTGAATAATGACACAAAGGAGCAAATGTTATAAAGATCGGGTAGGGTCACTTTCCACCATTGCAGATTATGATCAGTAGGGATCGGCAATCTTTTTGAGATTTTGGGGTCTGAACATAGTTGAATGTAGGACGTGACAACATCCTAGCTTGAGCAGGGAATGGAGTAGATACTCGGATGGTTAATATTAATTTGGGAGATACTCCCTGTATAATTTGCATTAGGTATTTCTGAAAGCAAAAACCCGACTGGAATAGCAATTACGATATACAACAGTGGCCTTACTAGATAGAATGAATGCTTGAAAATAAGATGAACTGTGAAGGATATTTCATAGTAGTGTAATATCTTTACCATTCTTTGATCTGTTTTTGAGACATTCTTAGAATACCTAGTAAAGGAAAGTTCTAGTTCAGTCTAGGAATTCTCAGTAACCAAAGTCTGAAATTTGTGTCCATCGTACACGTCATGTTTATCTGTCCCTGCGTGAGATGACCAATGAAAACACATGAGAGACAAGTCACATCCTGATAGTTGCCTCTTCCATGTGTAAACATTTTCACAGTGATACCATATCTAACTATATTACCATTTGACCAGCTTCTGGACTTTACTGTTTGTTGTTCAGTCAGCTTGCAGTGTCTGCTTCACTCCCCTTCTCACTGTTTCTCTGCCTCCATTTTGACAAAGCAAATGTGGAGGGGTGAGGGTAAGTAAAGATGGGGTGAGAGGAAACACTTTACGAGTTTGATTTTTAATTAAAAAACTTGATATCTTAGAAATCTAAGATGAAGAGAATCTATTCATGCAAGAATGTTAACCACAAAATCACTCATGAATCCCAACTGTTGTTGAAATATTGGCAAATGTTGTGGCAGCCGGCTTAGATCCCTCACAGTAAGTTGTGATACAAGCCAAAAAGGTTGCAAATAATAAACAATATTTGACAAGTTCATTTAGAGATATACATATTTATGGATATATGCCTTTTTGATTATGGTTTTGTTTTGCTAGAAAGGTCAATAGAGAGCCAAGCTCAGCAAGGGTTACTTTTGGTTCATAAATTTGTGTATTTTTGTTTAACATTGTTTATGAGTGTATTAATGATGTTGAACATCCTATCTAACCTCTCAGCAGATGTTCCCATGTTCGCTGAAAGATTCCGAGAAGTTTGAGAAGTTTGAGAGCCGGGAAGTTATTTTATCACCGTTGTTACATCATCAGAGTGCCACTTAATTGAATAGAGAAAATGTTACATTAAAAGTAATTTGATTAATTATTTTAAATTCAGTTAAAGAATTGTATTATCCATATAAGGTATGAATGCATACGGTGCTTAATTGTAGACATATATGGTAATATAACAATGTAGATGTGACTTTTATCCTAATCAGTAGATTGCTGAGTAAGTTCAGATCCAGGGTAAATAAACAGAATAAAAGAAAACAAAAAGACTTGGAATTACTAACTTCATTAGATCTACAATTTTGGAGCTTGAAAGAAAAATAAACTCACTTGATCATTACCACAAATATGTCAGAAGTTGGCCCTCCGGAAGCTGCTATAGCAAAACAATTATTTGGCAAATATGGTATTGTGTCGCAATCAAAGAACATGAAAGGTCTATGTAAACGGTAGCATTTACCGGTTGTTATGTGAAATGGTTGAAATGTGGAGAGAGGGATTAGCTCAAATGGCTTGGTAAATAAATGATTCTGTTACAACAAACAAAACCAACTGCCATCTACTATGACTACCTCTATTGAGTAAATATTGCACTAAATTAAATCAACTTCATTATGTCGAGACATGAATAATAAAGTCTGTTTTTTTAATGATATCATGTCTGTTTTATTTTTTTAGAATGCCCTGTTGGAACTTATAAATGGGAAACAGGAAGTGGGATATGCCAAACGTGCCCGTCACACAGTTACGCATCCAGTAGAAAATCAGTCGAGTGTACATGTGATCCAGGGTACTTCAGATCACCCACAGATTCCAAGTCTAAGGCCTGCACAAGTAAGTCTAGTGCTAAATCCAGAATCTAAGATACTGGATTATATATGAACATCATAAACCATTTTTAAGAGAGACATAACATTTCCCTGCATAAGTCTGCTTTTTGTACGTCATGCATCAATCGTGGTGTATGTACACAAAAACTGCTTTATTATTTCATTATTCAAATTGTTATCCCCAAGTCTGTTGCATATTCAAGGTGAAATTCCTATGATATTAGACATTAAGTAGAACCGTTGATGACATTAACTTATTACGGAATTAGATTCTCTGAAAAAAGTTTGCAACAAGTGCTTGAGTAATACTGACACAGTGAATTAGATTACGAGACTTAATGTGGCTTTCTCGGAATGCTTTCGCATATAGCACATCTAAGTCAGCTGAAGTTGAAATCAGTGAATGAAGCTCTAAATAGAAAAACAACCACATAACCTTATACTTGGAATTACTGATAGACACCACACAGTTTCTTGCTTTTACTAGAAGCAACTGAATTTGAACTTTGTAGTAGCTATTAGGATTAAAATCCCTGAGTGGAGATTTAATTTAGCGTATTTACACAAAAAGCACAATTTGATGCATTAGGAATTAGCATGCAATAGGGGCAGGTGGTGTGATATCCTGAGAAGGCTGTGTTGATGTATATTTGCATGATCTATTGTCCGTATGATGTAAGTGTGACACATTGTATGTAACACTGTAACCAGTATGTGAAATACAAGACACTTAGCTCATAATACTCAATCAGACATTCAAATGATGCAACATGGTCTCATGTGACCATACACCATTCAACTGTCCTTGTTTGGAAATATTTGTCTAACATGGCAATATTTCCTTTGAGGTGCCAAGTTTCATATTCTCTTAATTTGTCTTCATCGCAGCTTTGGGATTTGATATCAAATGATACATTTTTGTGAATGTGTAAGTCGGTTAGGAAATGTAGTCCCTCATGAGTTCCTACATGCTCGATCAATCTTATAAAGGTCGGCCAGACGATGACTATAGAATATTTTCTTTGTGTTTCTTGGATTCCACAGAGGCCGCAGAAATTGTATATGACACAGTTACTTATAAAAATGATGATTTAAAGTGACATGAGAAATGATATAAAGCAGTATAATACCCTTTAACATATCAGTAGCTCTCTAAAGTATAGTTAGCAAGTTTTCATAAATTGCCTCGTGTAATATACAGTCCCACGTTGGTCATAAACCATCACACTGTTTCAACCTTGAATATTCCGAGCAGGATTTATCACGGTTTCATATTTTGATATATTCATAAGTTATGATTTTGCCGTTATTTTGATATAAAGATGCACATAAGTTATTCATTGACGAAGATATTGAATTTAGGGATGAATGTTAAAAAACTTGTTTTTTCAACTTCTGCCGCTTGACTTAACTTTAATCATTGACTTTTCGCCTTTAATATAAACAAGAAATTCAACATATGGCAAAAGAATCATGTTATTTCCAAATCAATTCACAGATGATGGAATCCTAATGACAGGTACTGCAAAAGAAATTGACATTTTGTAAATTGAGATGTTTCCTCCCCAAATGTGGTCTGTCATAATTGAGTAGAGTCTGATACGAGTATGTTATTGCTTTGCTTTCATTCTTTCACCCTTACTCAGTGTTTTACTAATAACTTCTAAATCATTCAGCATCTCCACAGTCAACCTTTCAGCATATTGATTTGTTTTTCTATCACAGAAAAGAACAACATTTAATAGCTTTTAAAATATATTCTACAAAATTTTAAGCTCTTTAGAATCTCATTAATAAAATATGAGATATTGTCTGACTTGGTGTTATTTTGTTACATTCTTTAGATTAAAAAAATCAATGAAATTTTGTGTTTTGTTTGCATTAGTTATGAAATATATATTATATATACATATTATACAATATAATATTGTAGTTCTGACACTCAATGAAAAATATCACTCAGCGCTGTACATAAAAAATTCACTTGCGAGGAATAATACGCTAGGAAAATATGAGAATTGCGATCATTGGTAGGATTATGTAAATCTGTCAACGTGGGATGAAAAGGAATCTCCTAATGTAGAATCCTAATAGAGATTCATCTTCGTATTTGCATCTAAAATCCATACTAATCCATTCACTGAGCAATAATCGTGCATTATCAGTGACATTAACCAATCAAAGGTCACAAAACATTTTAAAATAATCAGTGAATGAGGAAAATCTACAAATTCACAATCTGGCTTTGAAATTTTGCAATGAATTCTGTGACTGGGTCCTATATTAGATGAAATTAGTTGGTACTCGTGAGTTATGTGTCCCGCTATCAGACAGTGGTGATTTAATTAGGAGCTACAGTGGATGGATCAACGAACATTCGTATCTTGACATAAGCTATTAGAAAGAAGTCTTAATGATTATAGCAAATCATTGAATTCATTCATCACACATCGTGTTTCAACTTTTCATCCAATAAACGGGGACACTAAATTGACATGTAACAAAATGTGCTATTTTCGAGAAAAAATTAATCGCTCAGAAATCACACCATAATGAAATCAAATAAGTATAATTTTTCAGAAATGACAAAAGATATGTTAACTGACTTTGAGAAGTTAATAGCGGAATTTAAAAAATAGACACTCATTTGATTGGTCTTCTGGCATAAGTTTGGAGATTCTGTATCTGGTCTTTGGCTATTTAATTATCTAAGATTGTTTGCACGAGTGATCACTATGAATTATTGAACAATTCTTGTATACATAAGACCAGGGATTACACATAATTGACTCAATTACAAAGCATTATTTGCTTTCAATGATTAAGTTCCTCAACAACTGGTATTCATTACATTATGCAGGTTCTGCTGTAATCAATTTTAGCAGAAGTGGTAGCATTTTGAAAGGTTACATATTCCTATTATAACATACCAGCTTTGGAGTGATAGATCTGCCAAAGATTGGCCAGATTGTAACAATAAACACCTTTAATTTGATCGTTCCCCAGAGTTTCAGATGATATATCGCCACAAATGAGAAAATATCTGTTTCAATTCAGCTCCTCATGTGAATCATTCTCATTTGGGAAAGTTGCAGTGTATATTGCTGATGTTGAATATAAATCAAAAAATATAACAGAACTCCTAGCAATATTTCAAGATTCTGCTGTCACTGATGCATATCATAATACCCATGTAAGACTTCAGCTGCATACTTGAATCAGCCTTTGGCATCATCATTGCTAACCTATATTTTCCTATCTAATATCCGAGAGCACATTTGTAGTATTGTTGTTTCATTCCATATATGTTAATGTGCACGTGATGTACTTGCAGGACCCCCAAGTAACCCCAGGAACCTGAGTGAACAGTTCTCCGACCAGAGCACCATCAGGCTCCAGTGGGACAAACCCACAGATAAAGGAGGTAGGGATGACCTCACGTACAGGGTGGCCTGTGAACAGTGTCGCACCGGGACTGAGTACCTTCCTGCTAGGAGCAAGTTCAACCATACACACGTAACCCTGACTGGCCTGTATCCAAACACGGAGTATACAATCAGTATTTATGCGGAGAATGGTGTGTCTGGGGTCAGCGGTGTACAGAGAAAAGCAACAGTAGTAGTCATCACAGAGGCTGCATGTAAGTCAATGTTGTATTTTAGATTATTGAAACAAAATAAAGGAAGAGAAGTATTCATTGTAGACCAAATGGTAGTTATGCAATACTTATTGATTTCCGATTCTTAAACTTGTTCTCTTATTGAATGATCAAATTACAATAGCATTAAGACATTTTCAACTTCAACATCTTGTTAAGAATTTTAATATTAAGAATGTTTGTTTGTTTCAGTGCCCTCTCGTGTTGAGAATATCCGAGTCCTGAGTAAGGATGTACATCATATCTCCCTGGCATGGGATAAACCTAATGATCCATCTATTATTATTGAGGAGTATGAAGTCAAGTTTTACTCTCTTAGCGATCCATACAACATTTCCCGAGTCCACGTTGAGAAGCAAAACATTTCCATCAAAGGACTTGACCCGACACATGTCTATGTATTCCAGGTATTTGAAATTGAGCACCATCTTTCTTTGAATTTTTGAACTAACCTGTATAATATGTAAAAATCAAAGATGTAAAAATCTTGGAATGTATCACATTGTACTTTTAAACGAGTATAAAGACAATAATATGATATGTTTTAAGATTATAATTTGGAAAAGATGAACATTAAATAAACTTTACATTACAAATTCCAGGTTCGTGCTAAGACAACTGAAGGCTGGGGAGAGTTTAGCGAGTCTATCCACATTACGCTTGAAGATATAGGTACGTTAACGAATAAACCACTCATGTAATAAGCGAAAAGTCTAGTCTCTGTTGACATTCTGTAAATCAATCAGGAAAAATACATATATTTTTAGTATAGGTAATCAGATTAAGTAAACGATGATATTAAATCGTATAGTAAGCAGTACGCAGCTCATTGCGCTTAATATTGTTTAGTTTTCTACCTATGTATTGTAATAGTGACGTGATGTGAAATATGTATTTTAGAATTCTATATATTGTATATGTAAATGAGATATTTAAATGTATGCACAGGAAAAGGCATGTTCTATAATCATAGATATAAGAGTTCTGGTTATATGTGACACTTTAATTAAGATCTGTTGTTTGAAGCTGTAACTCTACTTACTATCTAATAATTCGCAGCTCGCTTCAAAATTAATAAAACCTTCAAAATATTCCATATGGTGTTAACTCTTTGAAAAATGAAACATTAATGTGGATGAACTTTATACCTGTTACTTCCAAGTAATTATATGAAGTTCATACCTGTTCATACCATATATGGTATTTTATGCAAGGAAAGGAACCATGCTCATACCATATATGGTATTTCATGTGAGGAAATGGACCATTTTTGGAGTATTATGAAGGAATTTAGATGTGTGTCTACATTTCACTAAGACAAATCAGCAGCTTTGAACCTAGATATTAATAAAGTTCATACATTAGTTAAAATCCTGGCATTCACATTTAAATAAGCAAGTGTTTTATTATTTATGGTGGGAGAAGGCGCTTAGTTAGTTGCATTATGGTTTAGTTACGCTACAGGAAGTTGGTAGAAGTCACGATGCTTCAACTGATTGAGTTTGTAGCATAAATAACTCTAATGCAATTTCCCCTGGAGTTCCCTCAGTTCTATTACACCTTAGACCTGAAATCATTTACAAGTACACATTATCGGTTCTAGCATAAGGATGTTAGTAAACTGTATCCTGTTCTAGATTCATGTACAGCTCCCTAGTGATTTTGTAATATAATCAACTTTAGTGCCTGAATCATAAAGTTGGTTGTACTACATATGAAAAATACACTCCTTTATTCAAATCAAACATTCTAGCATCTTTATGAATTCCCTCTATGTCTCATGCCTATCTCCCACCCTTGTCGCCTTGCTTTGTGTGGCTTTGGTATTTCACCAAGCTTGTTTGCTTTCTCCCATGCAGCTCTACCTGATGGTCAAGTGGATCGTGTTCACCCTGGAGACAGCCCAATAGCAATCATTGCTGGAGCATCCGTAGCCGTCATTGTCTGCATGGCTATAGTTATCATTATGATCGTTATCTTTCTACGCAGGTAGGTTCATATTGGTAGATATAGGTGGTTCTGATTGTTGTCAGTGGAGCCATCTATAGGTATGCATGTGTGCATATTGTAACCCAGTGAGGGACCAGTCATTATGTCATTGACTGGCTTCGTGCTGATTGGTTACTTTTTCCCATTTTGACAAAATGCACAACCAATCACTGGAGAAAACGTTTGTGTCATAATTTTATATTTTCAAATCGTGCAAGACTTTGATGAGAAAACATTTCTTTATTTGAGTTGGTTGTGTATTTAGTGAAAATGGCAATAGTTAGGTTAGTTAGGCCCTGCTACCTCTCACTCACAACTTAATCATTCAAACCAGAAAGTACAATAATTTTCTCTGACATCATAGGGAGTCGTCCTGCCCCATCAGAGGCCCCTATAGGCATAATAGCTGGCGCCATTGTAGCCGTCGTGGCGTGCATGGTCATCGTTATTATTATGGTGATACTTCTACGAAGATCTGTAATTGTCTTCCTAAAAAGGTTTGTAAACCAAGTTAAATTGCTCAACAAATCAAATGAAGGGGCTGTTTTCTTGTAAATGATGATGAAAATGAGAAAGTATTTTTAGAGTGATTGTTTTATGAAAATACATAACGACAATCATTCTCTGATTTGGGACTTTGTTTTGTAGAAACAACCAGTTTGATTACTGTCGTGGGGAAGGCCTTAGTGCCTTAACATCTCGCCAGATACCAAATTATTTGTAAGTTTCCATGGAAACCCCATGTTACCATAGCAACCAAAACACAATAACCTGTCTAGAGTCTACTAACGTTTCATGTCTCAAATAATAATGTTTCAACTCTAAATTGTCAAACATCTTCCTTATTATTGATATTTATTCCTGAACCCATGTGGTTTGAATTGAATTGGAAATATCTTTAGGCTATAGACATTCTAAAACACAAAACAAACTACAATGTACACTGCACATGGGGCCGCTCTGACCTCATTGAGTAATAACTCGAGGGAATCTAGGTGATGTTAGACCACGCATGAAAATTCATTGTTTAATACCCGCCAATGTTAACAATTATCTGTAAAGTAGTTTTCTAAATAAAAGGCTTTACCTTGGGACTTATAAAATACTTTATCTATGATCTGGGAACCTATTACATATTACTAACACTGCAAAATAATTTGGTATATGGTGTGCAAATCATTCAGAGTTGTATTAATGGCTCTCACATTGATGTGTCATTGATTCGCATATCAATGTGTGTCTATGACTCTCATAATTAATGTGTGTCAAACATTAGATGATCGCTACAATATGTGTGTTATATTTATAATATCAAATCTATTTTTTTAAAGAATTCATCTCATCACTAAAATGTAATATGAAGATTTTCGTAAAGAAAATGAACAGTATAGCATAGCACTACTTTATTCTCTGAGAAATTGCGTTTATTTAAAATAATGGCTTATCAATTACAATTACTGTTGTATGTTGTATGAAAATGCTCTATTCTATAATATATGCTAAATTGATGTATTTTGTTGTAGGAACCACCGTGCATGTGCTGAGAAGAATGTCAGCGATTGCGAGACCCTACAGTACTCTAATGGTGAGGGTAGGCATTATTTACTGCACAACTCTTTCTAATATAATGCCCCTTCATGTTAAATATCTGTTTAGCAGGTTTGTCATGATGAATAAGTGACCAGCTTTTTTCTTTGATCCTAAAATAACAAAAATGAAAGATTAGTCCAAAAATAAAAGAAACATAAGAAAACTGGACTGGGGACCAGGAACTGTCGCGAGATGATGAAAAGGCTGAGTGATGAAACACTGCTAAACAGATATTTGAATTAAAGGGCCTCACTAAATTTGAGCCATGGTAACCTTTGAGAGACAAAATCCAGGCTCTCCTTAATCAGAATTCAAATCATCTTTGATGAAATTCAAGACTGATCGGATAAGATTAAGGGTGAAATTAAAACATGGTATATGATGAAATATTTGAGACTGAGGTCAGGTTTTTGGGGTATTTTCTCAAATGTTGGCATTCGTAACATTTCATCTTTTCTGGTGTCCATGGCTCAAATCAATTTATACTCTAAATAAGTTGCAGAATTGATCTGAACGTAACACTTAAACATTTTGGAGAAATCTATCGAATGTTGCATGGAATCTGCACTTTGTTTGTGCCTAACAAATATAACCGAAGCTCTAACTTAGAATTAGATCATTACATTTAATGCTCGATTACTGTGCGATATGCATGATGTTCAAACTTTTAATAGTCCATTTTGAAAGTTCTAAAATGCATGTATTTAAGTTGATATAAGCATGCTTAGCAATACCACCCCTCTAGTGCAATAGTATACAGTGATCTTAGATATTTAGATAACGAGGGGTGATATTAAATGAATATTGTAAGGCTTTAACATGATATGATTCCAAAGTGTCACCTTTTCAAGATGATAAAAATGATGATTCCAACCCAACATGGTTATTGAGAATATTTCAATTGATTTACATCATGATTGAGGTGACATTTTGGAGACTAATTGCATTAGGTGTTGACCTTTTCTCTTGTTCTCTTTACGGATGTAGTTCAATGCCACACTATTGTCAGCAGCAATGGCACAGGCGCATGTAAGTAGCATGTTACATAGTCCTTTGATTATTAGACCTGCCTCTGCCACCCTACCTACATGTACCTGCCTACCTATGTACCTTCATCTTCTGCCATCTCAAAAACCCCCATCTCTGTGCAAACTCATTTATATGTATCATTGTTCTATTTTTACATGTTTTTTTGTCATTGTCAATGAGTGATCCATATTGTGCTTTCTGAGAATGTCATGCATCTGTCGGGCATTGTCCTGTAATCGTTACGTCTTGTCATCTTTTCTATTATCGTGTCATCTCATTATTTCATTTCAATTCTGAATCGTCTTAGAAATATCACACCTTGTGTAACTAGGATTGTTGTTGGTACTGTTCAACTTGGGATTTATATAAGCATTGATCTTTGTGAATGGAACAATGATTAAGAAATCATAACAGTGATTGTACCAAAATAACCTCTATATGTATGTAAATTAACAAGTTGAACAGTCACTTTCATTTCTAATATGTGTTTAACATTGCACACAATCACACATTTCATTATTGTATGTGTTTCACTCTGCATGGCACTCTATGTTAAAATTTCACATTTGTTCATCTAAGAGTTAGATATTCATTGTTAAAATAGAATTTTATGAATGCTTACTGGTAAAGAATTACTGTTAGGAAAGAAGTAATTTTAAAAGTCGAATGTTAGAACTCTGCTTGCTTTGCTTTAGATTAAAACCTATCTAGATTGAACAAAACATTTCATAACAAATTTCTTATATTGGAACTTTTATTTAAATGTCTTTATATGATTTCAGTGACTGTCCCGCTTTTCACTCCCCCTGGCGCTGTCCGTACATACATTGACCCCCACACTTATGAGGACCCCCAACAAGCTGTTCGAGAGTTCACCAAGGAGATTGACGCATCCCATATCATCATCGAGTCTGTGATTGGTGGAGGTGAATTTGGCGATGTGTGCAAAGGGAAACTCCGCCTACCTGGAAAGATGGATATGTGTGTCGCGATAAAGACCCTCAAACCTGGCGCATCCGAGAAAAATCGTCTGGATTTCCTGACTGAGGCTAGCATTATGGGACAGTTTGATGATCCAAACGTGATATATCTGGAAGGTGTGGTAACCAAGAGCAACCCAATCATGATCGTCACAGAATACATGGAAAATGGATCCCTCGACTCCTTCCTCAGAGTATGTTGATATAACTTTGATCCATCAATGATTAACTTAATAGATATACCATCATGGTTCATCACCATTGTACATCACATTTTAGATTCAATACTATATAATAAATGTATATTTTGTAAACTTATAGTGGAAATGATTGTAATGTCTTATGTCCTATGCCATTTTTGCTTATAGAACAACGATGGCAAATTCACCAGTATCCAGTTGGTAGGGATGTTACGTGGTATTGCAGCAGGTATGAGGTACCTCAGTGAGATGGGCTACGTACACAGAGATTTGGCCGCAAGGAACATACTGGTCAATGAGAATCTGGTCTGCAAGGTTTCCGACTTTGGCCTCTCCAGGGAGATTGACACACAGGATAACACTGATGGAGCATACACAACAAAGGTAAGAAAACATACTGCGGAAACTTTAAAAGTTGCAAAAGTTAATTTCAGAAAATACTCTTTTGATTATTTGTAGCTTCAAGGGGCATATCAGCATTATTGGCTATGGGTAGTCAAAGGGGTTATGATAAAATATCAGTTAGTTGAATAATAGATTTATCAATTGATCCATTCTATAATCAACTTGTGTTTTTAATATTAAACGTTATTCAGTTGTACTAAAATGTGTAATATTTATTTTAAATTGTATTGTAAATCATTGACTGTTATTATATTAACTGATATATTTCCTGTTTCCAGGGTGGTAAGATCCCAGTTAGGTGGACAGCCCCAGAGGCGATTGCATTCAGGAAGTTCACATCTTCCTCTGATGTCTGGAGTTATGGTGTTGTATCCTGGGAAGTGTTGGCGTATGGAGAGCGACCATATTGGAACTGGTCAAATCAGGATGTTATTAAAGCAGTTGATAAAGGATACAGACTACCCCCTCCCATGGTATGTTCAAAATTATCTTACCACTCTTCCGTGTTCATTGCATTTTGAAAACGTCACCTGGTATTTTAAAATTCAGAAACTTTTCCTGAATTTATTTTCGTCATCTTTTTAAAAAATTTAATTTGATAAGAACACAAGGCAATGCTAGAAAATCAAAAAGCAACAAGGATCTTTTTAAAACTTGCTTAATCTCGTATCTTATTATGTTTCAGGATTGTCCAGAGGCAACCTATCAGTTGATGCTTGACTGCTGGCAGAAAGAACGCAGCCACCGTCCTAAGTTCGCCGCAATTGTGAAGACTCTAGAGAAGCTCATCAGGGCCCCTGAACTGCTGAGGAAAATTGCCAAACAAAAGTAAGTCGGCATTTCAATGTGAAGTGCATTGTTTAATTATCAGGTGGATTCGTAGTTCCAATATTATTTGTTCCAATGTTATTTAATCTTAATTTAGTTATTTTGAATTTTACCATGTACTTTTTACAAAAGTGATATTATATCCTACAAACTCATTATTTAATGTACATAATGTGTATATTTCCTCAAACCTTTTCAATAATTTGTCACAAAATCTAATTTAGTGTTTTTTGTACTTCCAGGCAGCCAGACCTCCTAGACCCTGAGACAACCGATGTGACGCGATACACTTCAATACAGGATTGGCTAACCAGTATTAAAATGGACCGTTACATAGAAACCTTCCTGACTGCAGGCTTTCTTAACATGGACATGGTGTCACATATCACCCTTAAAGACCTTCTCAATATGGAGATCACATTAATAGGACATCAGAAAAAGATCATGAACAGTGTACAGACTCTCCGAGCGCAAATGAACCAATTAGATCAAATCAATAGTCTACACATAGAAGGAGGAGTGCAGCTTTCAGAAGGATTTCTAGTGTAGCGAAGGAGCTTGCTAGGAGAGTGTGTATATATCGTTGCTGCAGTGTCATGTGTATATATATTGCAATTGGAGATTGTATATAGAATGGACAGAGTTGAAAATGGATCCCTCACGGGGTAAAGTTCTTGTCTCCGCAACATTGACATAGTTGGTGTTTTATATAAATATGCCATAAAGGAGTCATGGAACAAATAATATGCAGTAAAAGTTTTATAATACAACATATAGCCTTAGTTAGTTTCTGGTTTATATTGATTGACAAGCCTTTGAGTGACACACTATGATACACATGTTTTAGATGTAGATTTCGAATGGACTTGAATTATAGACAAAATGCAGATGATTGTTGTATTAAAACCAAAAGATGATATACATGAATGGATATTTCAAATGGACTTGAATTTAAGATAAATGCAGGTGATTATATTTTATGAAAACTGAAGATGAGACATGACTTGTATGATTAATATTGCTCTGACAATAACATGTGGAAGTAAAACTCTGATTGAATGAAATCTATGTGTAAAACTTGAGTATCATGAGTGGCCATGAGTGTTAGCCTTATTTTATTTTTAAGTGGTCGCATAAAATGTTGTAAAAGTCACGCAACATATGATGACTAAACCAATTGTATAGTAATATTTATTTTGCAGAATCAATGTTAGGAGCAATAATATTTATTCTGTTGAAAACAGAACACCACAAAACAATTTACTGTAAAGCCAGTCATGTGTGACAGCAATAACTGTTTGCCAATACTGCTTTGTATTTTCATTTTCCAAATGAACACATGACTGGATTTATATGTCTTCTCTTCCATTATTGCACAATCAAGTTTAGAGACATTTTATTTATTTGGTATAATTAATAATTAGCTGATTTTTAATTTATATTGACTTATATCCCAAATGGACAAAATGCGATTTTCAGTTCTGTAATAATATGTAAACAATGGTGCAATTGTGAAGTTATGAACGCAATGTAATCTATGAATATATGTTAGATTGCGCTGTGGTTTGTAATGTGATGTATATAGTTAGTTTGTATAATGTATATAGTGTACAGTGTACAGAAACTATAGAAATCTAACTGTGAAGAGAAATCCTGGATCAAGGTGTATGATTTTGGTAGTATTTGTACAGATACATCCTCCTGTCTTTTCTCAATCGAATTATGTAAAGTTTTATGAAAATGATTTCAATTAATTTTCAATCATGAACTAAATGCCTGATGCACAAAGACTTTAGGCCTAACAAGTCAAAATTATAATATAAAAAATAACAATTAACTTTGAATGAATAATGATAATAGAAAGGATTAAAAAAGCTGTCAGAATTCTACGTTCTGATCCAAGAGATGTACATAGTTCGTAGATATGGAGGAAAAGTCATGAAAGGTGATTTTAATATTAGAAGAAAGCTAACCCACCACAATAATTTATTATGAGAAAACTTTGAACATTCTGTCAGGTCACATGGATGGATCTCAATTCTTCACCATGTACTTACAGAGGGAATTCTAAACCAATAGATGCATTGTGTTTTAGTATGTGTATGTGGAGTCCTATATTAAGTTAGATTTATACAAAATGGATGATAAGATTAACCTAGTAGAAAGTTAAATGATTTGGCCATTCATTTTTTATATATCCTTATATATTGTATTGGCGTAGCCCCTCATCCAGTTCCGGTGGATGCCTTAAGGACCAACAAACAAATAAACTTGAACTTTACAATACAGATCAAAATTAATGAATCTTTCTCTTGAAATATAACATCACAAAGTTGATTGATCTTAATCTATTTTGAATTGTATTGCATTGTTACAACTATCAGTTGAAAATGTGTTTGATTATTGTTATTATGAAGTTGTTTGTAAATGTGTTAGAAGCATAAAAATTTTGTACAGTACTTTGCATTATACAATTTCTAGTACCGTATAAAGCCAATAAATTTTATAAAAAACAAACATAAAATAATATTTCCTGTTATCATTGTCTATGCTATAGAATGTGTTAACTTAAAGGTAGATATGGAGAGAAAGCTTTAAAAGTGCCTAAAGGATGAGACCACAAGTAGTAAAATACACATGTAACATGTACACGGAACAAACTCTGGCATCCCAAAGTATGATCTTACATTGCATTGTTTACGAAGCATTGTGTTTAATGAAAGGTAAAATCAGAACCATCTTACTTAAGAATCCACCTTTTAAAAGATGGCGTTATAAATATTTTCATATGATGTACCTTTATCAAGATCTGTCAAACCCCCAAACATTTTACCATTTTTGAGCACATACCTCAAGACATCCTCCCAAGCAGGTATCCAGAATCCGTACCTCCTTCTTCCCCCTGCTATAACCAATTTGGAAGCGCCCGATTAAACTGAATCACATGATCTAATTATGCGCAATGACTTATACATGATTTCTGTCGCAGTGTTGCGACAGCCAATCAGATTGCGAGTTCTTAATCGGGGAAAGGCTAACTGCTTAACGCAGGGGGTAAAAAGAAAGAATATATTCTGGATTTTGAAGCCCTGTGATCGGAGGATGACCTCAAGAGGATTTCCAACAATATCTTTGACACACACTGATGAATATTGCACTTTTAAGAGAAAATTTGCTGCAATGTATTTCAAGCTGAATGGATAAGCAGTTTTTCTAGGAATTTTGATGGCAAGATTTAAGTGGCATCCACCCAACCATACACCCATGCACCCACCCACCCATACACCCAGCAGAATAACAACAATACATCACCTTTTGAAGGTGCATAAAATAACATGATTATCATTCAAACACCGATTCACAATATGATAAATCAATTCAAAATGCCTCAACAAAGAAAAATAACAAAATGATTTAGTTATGCAAATATATTCAGTTAACTTTTATTTAGTTTATCTAAAATACAATACAATCTTAAACCCAGTTTAACATTTAATTATTACATTTAAAATTTTGTAAAATGAAAAAAAAAACAGTGTGTCAACATTCGTCATTCTGGAAAGAAAAACTTGAATAAATGTACTGTCCTTCCAGCATCTTTTTCTTGTGAGATAATATCTTTGAAATGTTCAGATTCATTGAGATCTATTTCTAAATAATCTAGTCCACTTGATCTAGCTTCAGTTTTGAGTAACTGGCTGTAGATATTGTTCCGGTTGATGTAACTTAAGAGGAAGACACCACCCTGGAAGACAAAGTAATATAATAATATATAAATTCATTTTTTTTCATTTTTTCCTTTCATTTTACATAATACGACACTCAAATAATCCAACATCAAACATTTTTCAATAAACCAACTAAATGTACAATTTTGACAACAATATCAGACAAGGCATAAACATGCAAAATGTCACAAACTACCATTTGTTAGACACTGAACACCAACCACCGAACACCATCCCCAAAAAATTGGAGACTATAACAATATGTCATTTCTGGTGGTGACATAAATATACTAAGAAACCACAAGAAAATAACAAGGAGCTTGTCGACTTTCAACATGCATTAACATTTGATGAGTCTTGGTGAAATAGGTCTACTTGAAGTTAATACATTAAAAGTAAAAGTAAACCTTTTTCTTTAAGAGCTTTCCAACTGTCTGAAAGAGCAGAGGAATTGCATCAGGCCAGAAGATAACATCAGCACCAAGTATGACTTCAAATGTCCCATATTTATTTTTGAATATATCCGCATCGCTGCCCCATTCTAGCATAGCACATAGTGGAGCTTCTGGAAATGAGAACCAATCATAATACAAGATAAATAATATCGTATAATGCATTGTTATATAGGAATAAAGGTACATACATGTACAACCAAAAGGTAGATAAGACTAAAGGTACGGGGAAAAAGAAAATATCTCATATTCCATTATTTGTTTTGTCCTTACTTTATAGATGGCAGCATCTTACAGTGACAAAGGCTTAGTCTAACACATATCTAACAAAGGCTTATTAGTCTAACACAGCAGATTCTTCATTCTATATATTCAATATTCTCATCAGATAATATTCTCTATTTTATTATTAACTTAACACAAATTACCTTCATTAAAAAAGTAATAATTATCTAGTATGAAAAATAATACATAAAATATGATCATTTTAATGTTATTAAATTAGTAAATTAAGTGTTGAACTTTCCATTGGTTGATTTCATGGTACATTTCAAGTTCAACCTCAAGGACTGTTTAGAAGACCTCAAAGCATGAGACCTTAAAAATGAGCAATGCCATGCTTCACTTTTAAGGTGATATTTCAAAAAGTATTAGATAAATGTATATGTTTTAGTATTATTTTGAATAAAATTTATTTTCAATATGATTAAAGCATAAAATATATTCAATCTCATGTAAAAGTATAAGAATAAGAGGTATCAAGATGTTCTCCTCGAGGATTGCATTGTAAGTAATTATTCAATAACACATTCCAATAAAAACATAATTTGTGGGAGAATGTTCACTTTCTGTATTGTCATAATTATGATGAATTCATTTTTTATTAAATTATCAACATGTTGATAATCATGTTTTTATTTTTGAGTTAATTCTTTAAATCATCCATAAAAAGTACAAAATAAGATTTTCTTGGAATGTGTACATTCTCCAATTTTAAAAACCCAAAGGCAATCCTTATGTATGAAATATGAGAAGTTGCCTACCCTTCAAGTTGAAAGCCCATGCTCAAAGCTATCAAATATTCACTTACTCTCTTGAGCAGAATCAAAATTTACATCAATATTTTTCTGTAGAACATCCAATACTTTTTCATTATGGTCAGTCAATATAACATTATTGGGATTGGTGGAAAACTTGGCTGCCATAAGCCCTGCCACCCCTACACCTGCCCCTAATTCCAGAGTCTTTCTATCCCCTATTAGGCCTGGGTGGTGGGATAGATACAGGGCTAGCACCTAAACATAAATACAAATCTTCATTACTTCACATCAATAATGTATTCATAATCATATTATATTTGAAAAGATCAAAATGACCATCAAATTTAAGTACTTATTTTCATTCTAAAAGTGACAAAAAGAATTTCTTCTATTAAAGGTCTAATTCAGAGAAGTATGTCTGTTTGGTACCCACATTTTGCTCCATCAATATTTTCAGGCCCTACATACCTTTCTTAGAAAGTTCCCATGAATGACATTTGTACATTGTACCCATTATTAGAGACACTGTTAGCACCATAGAAAAATACTAAGTTCTGACTTAATAGATAGAAACACTCAAATTAATCATAAATGTTTAGTGAACAAAATATGTTGCCTATAAAAAGAAGTACATACCCTACAAGCTGGCCACACAATTTGCCCCGTCAGATCAAAGTCAGCTGAAAATATCAAGAAAAAATTTGAAGTTCTCTGAAAATGAACACTCCATTTATTAATAATATTCTAGTTATTGCTAAAAGAAAAGTAAGATCATATACGTCATACACCGGTTGTTAACCAAGAAAAGGATGCAATTTCTCCAAGGTAGGTAATAAAATAGAAGTTTACAACATTATTTCTAATTCGAAAACAGGTTGCAAAGTTTATCCTACTTTATCATATTATTTTTGTAGTAGTAAAATCTTAGACATCAATGAGTAGGGTATTTACTAAAATCTTATACTCTCCATGTAAGGGAACATACTTGATGAAGCGCTATGCAAGGCCCATATCTCCAGAGATGTGTTATTTATCTCAAGCTTTGAGCTGGTGTAACTGGAAATAGACAAAGACAATGAAATTACACGAAAGGACTTCCTGGAATATCACACATACATGTATGATGCACAGCTTTTCATCTCAACAAAAGGAAGTATTTGATACCAAATATCAATTCCACAGAGCCTGTAATATGTATGTCACGACCCGTATGTGGTAGCGTGATTGGGAATCGGACAGAAAAGGAAGTTATATTTGATGTCTCAAATAATAGATATTGCATGTACTAGATTGCAATTGTTAATGTTTTCAATTCAAAGTGGGAGGGGTTAATTGAACAGAAAAGCCATTTACAGGGGCTGGATTAAGAACATGTGCTGCATGTACTAGATTGCAATTATTAGGGTTGTCAATTCAAAGTGGGAGGGGTTAGTTGAACAGGAAAGCCATTTACAGGGGCTTTATTAAGAACATGTACTGCATGTGCTAGATTGCAATGGTTAGGGTTGTCAATTCAAAGTGGGAGGGGTTAGTTGAACAGGAAAGCCATTTACAGGGGCTTTATTAAGAACACTATGTCAGAAATCAGCTGATTAGTCTGGTTAAAGATTTTCTGAGCACAGTGAAACTCGTGGGAATTGAACACTTATGAAGTCACAAGAATATGTTCACCATAGAAAGGTGTTCATTATAAATGCGTGACTTCATATGGACACATTGGTGTATGTGATAACAAGAGGTGTTTGATATTGCAAGTTTCACTGTAATCAGATGATATATAGTGGATCAAAGACAGATTTCACTGTAATATGTTGGTAAATAATATGTAGGGTAATCAGGCTGAGCAATCAGGAAAATTAAGAACGTTGCAAATCTTGTGTGACAATGCCCCAATTACCATGTGAGCAAATAATTAACTACCTGGACAGGCGTGCGATTGACCTTTATAGGAGACCTCTGCGAAACAAATTGGACAACAAGTGTCATCTGTTTTCCACTGGTCTATGCAGAAAGTACATGCACAAATCTCTTGCTCAGGGTAATGTTGGGGGTCAGTCAATGTCAGTAAGATTTTGCAATACAAGCAGATGTAATGGCCACAGAGTAGATATATTAGGTTAGGTGAGAAATTAGTGCAGTGGAAACAAAAGTGTGCATTTTGTAAAGCCATGGCATTAGAGAAATCAGACGTGAAACAACCTAATAAGTATCTGTAAAGACAATTTACAGTTGAAGTGTCTGTTCATAAATAACCAGCTGGCTACAAATGGGCTTCTGTCAATAATTTGAATTTGAATTCCAATACAACGGGAGGGGGATTGTGAATGATCTAGCTAGGAATAACTACCATCTAAGCTTTACCAAGAAATAAACAAACTCTGGCGTGTAAAGGGATCTTTATAAAAATGTATAAAAACAAATCTATTCTACTGTAATAAATTAACAAGTTCACAATGTTACAAGTCACTAACAGTTACTGGCAATGGAATGCATGTGTACACTCAAGTTTGAAACACCGCTGGTTTTCACATACAGAAGCCAAAAGTGAGAACTACTTTTTGCTGAAACTTGACCTTAAACAATAACACTGATCAGCTGATCGGAGCACGTTTAATACAACAAGTGTGTCCAGAAAAATTGGTAGAACTTTAAGTATAGGCCGTTAAGTATAATATGAATGCATTAAGTCAAATGAAAACACCAATATGTAGCCCACTTAGAGTATTGACATGTAAGTGTGGGAGGGGGTAGGTCAGTACCAGGGAAGTCAATTACAGCCCAAAAGGCTTCACGGGCTTCATAGGCTTGGCAAGTGACCTCAATGACCCTGTGTTAAATTGAAGTTTTCGTTCCCGATGGGCTGCGAAAACGTAGTTAAATTGGTCCACAATACTCTAATAAGGATTCATAACAATAAATGCGCTACAAATAGTGTCAAATTCTTGTATAAAGTTGAGTTTGAATGATCGAATAGTAAAATCAGTGAAATAACCCAGCAAGTTTCGACAATCTTGAGCAACCTAAATAAATGCAATTACCTGGCCTGTGCCTGTATCGCGACTCTCCATAATGTAATCAGCGGTATATATATCCAGTAGTTATATCCAGAGTTTGAGTATCTTGTAAAATATCCAAAAGACGGAGAATTCAAAATATCGACTCGCCAGAAGAAGCTCGGATTCGCACCATGTAAAATATTTATGCGCTTACCTAATTGCGCTAGTTTGGGGCTGGAGAATATAGTTCCTCTGTTTAAAGCTAAGTTAAGAGTGATTGAAGTTAAAATACCCAAATATAGGGTAATAATATAAATAAACATGAGGTTTAACACATGAAATAGAGTGAAATACTTGAGTAATAACGTGTTGAAAGAGGAACTATTTCCCAGAACCAAAGGTCAAAGTGCATCCAATATGGCGGCAATAACAAAAACATTTAATTTGAAATTTTGAAAGAAAATGGTTAAACTCTGATATATGGAGAATTGCGATATCATTTAAAATGTGAGTATAAGTTAACAAAGTGGCGATCTCTCAAATCAACCAACTGACAAGAGTGGAAACGAAGTGCAAGATCGTCACATTGCCTCCTATTTAAAATGAGTTCGACCTCGAACTCTTAAATACCAGTACATAGATGCTACAAAACTATAAAAACAATCACCCAATTTAATGGGTTATCATTGTCACTCTGACTAAGTACCAACTAAGTACCATTGGTAATACTGTATTAAAGTATATAAAAATACCACAAGGCTTCAAAATGCTTTAAAAATACTTTTCAAAATATAAATACTGTACAACATCTACTATTTGGTTCCTGAGACTAGTGAAAATTATTGATTATGCATTAAAAGGAACCTTCCTGGAATTATTGAGCATTATACAATCAGCAACTCAGATCTATTATCTGTAAAATATAATATAGTTTAACATATGTACATATATACAAAAAGAATGATAATATCCATTATCTTTGCACTTTAATATCACGCAATACAGTTGTGTTACTCTGACACTATTTGTAATGTATTTTCTAACTTAATAAGTGTTCATGAGGTATTTCACATATACCTTTTTTTATAGTGATAGCACTGTTTATAAACCTAATAAACATAATGTCATTTATTGTAGTTCTATTGCACTTTTAGTCTGGTTGTAATAAGTGTTTATGAGATTTTCAATATATACTTATATATATAGTGGTAGCACCATTGATAAACATAATAAGTATATTGTCACTGCATTGTAGTTCTGCTGCACTTGTAATCTGGTTGGAGTATCACCTGGCAAGTTGATGTTGTTGCTTGTAGTTTATTCATTGCTATTAGTGTTATAATAGGTAAGCAATGTAGCACTGTTATAATCCAATATTGTCACTGGTTAGTCACTGGTTATCATAGATATATATGGTATCACTGATAATGTTTCACTGGTTTGTGAATATGAGCAAATGCTATACATAGTTTCTTTTTGTTGTTGTAAGTCGTTGTATAGTCTATTGCTTTAACCAACAATCCAATGTCTTCTGTTTTTGGGTTGAAGTTGTAGGCGTGGCGGTTCTTCTTATGGAAAGGTCCAATACTAAGTTCAAGGGTTCTGTTTGGCTCTCCTCTTGCACTACATTGGAATTTGTAGCTGGAGCCTTGGAGGCAGGAGTCTCAGATTTTGAGCACACCACAATCTTGATTGGGGAGACAGGAGTGGCAGGATTAAGAACTGTCTCAGTGTCCTCTTTTGGTGTGAGCACTTTCCACGAGGGGGTCTTAGGGGGTGTTTTAGGAGATTTTGAAGATGTACTAGAACTTGACTGACATAGCTCTTCGTCAAGAGCATCAACATTCAATAGTGTATCCCAATTCTTCTTCATAGCTTTTACTTTAGCACGTAGAGGCTTCTTGGAAAGTTTACGTTTTAGGGAGTCCTTTGATTTCTTCTTTGAAGATTCTTTAGACTTAGCCTTGGACTTTGAAGTGCCTCTGTGTTTGGACTTCACAGGGGGTTTGTTTTTCTGTTTAGAGGTGCCTGTAGTTTTAGACTTCTTGGGAATGGTGAAAGGTTTCATGGGTGTGTGCGGAGATAGGATTTGACTGTTGGCGCCTGGAGTACCCTGCTCTTGGGATCCAGACCCTTCATTTAGAGGTGAGGTGGGAGGGGTAGTTGTCTTTTCAGGTGAACTTTGGGAAGGAGAGAGGGGCAGGATTTGGGAATGCTGGTAGTATTCTGTTCCATCGCTTGACACATCACTCCTTAGTGGGGACAGTCTAGCTATGTTATCCCATTCCATGCCTTTAAACAAATCCTCTGGTATGATACCTAATAGGGATTCATCCATGAAGGTAGATGAGGTGGAAGGATCCCTAGCCAAGGTGTCAAGCTCATTTACCCACGTCACCTTGGGTTCACTAGTACTGGGAGGCATTAATACTACATCAAATAAGCTAGGGATATTAGCTGTGGGCGTGGTTGGTGTGGGTGGCAAATCCCTAGAGGTAATGGTGTGTGATGGAAGTGCCTGGGAAGGTCGCATATGGGTGGCTATGTGTCGTTCAATATTATTCTTACAATGGGCTGGTCTATTGAAATTGCATCCACTTTCAGGGCAGAAAAATCTAACTGAATGGCAGTTTCTTGTATGTTTGTTCAGCTTAGCTAAACTGCCAAAGGACCTGTCTGGACACTGTAAACAGTGCCAAACTTTGTGAGGGATTCTATGGAATACTCTCTCATGTTCCTCCAGCTTTACACGCTGTCTGAACGTAGCTCCACAGACGATGTTTTCCAACGTGAATGTGCACACATATTCAGAGCCCTGGAAATACACAGAAAGAGTGGATTACCAATAGGCTTCAAAAGCAGTGGGCATGATTTAAACATGGTTATTATCATTACTTTAATATGATATATGTAAACTCTAAAATGAACCTCAATCACTATCTCCTTAGAGGATAAAGAGTCATATAATCAGTATCATATAATGGTGAGGATAGTTAATAACAGTGAGGTTAGTGGAGTAAGGAAAAGGTAAAGTAGGATGAAGATTTGTTGGAGGAAGTGCATGCCAAGAGCTACTAGTACATTTCATAACCAGACAACCAAGCGGGCTGTTTCTGACGCCGCTTGGGTCTGGCACTGGGATCAATTTCTGAGACTGAATCTTTAAATTCAAGATCAATTTCAGGAGAATTTTGATCATGTGGCGCGTATTCGGGCTCTGCGGAATTTTGAAACTCTGGGGGAGGATCCCCCAGGAATCGCTTTAGGCGGTTCGAATGAATTACTTTGGATTTCCCTTTAGTGTCAATCAGATAGCGCAAATCATCTAGTCGGTCAATCACAAGGTAAGGACCATGCCAGTTATTTGCAAATTTTGGTGTTTGACCAACTTTATTCACTGGGATATGGACCCAGACCAAGTCATTGGGCTTATACAGAGGATTCTTTGACTTGATGTCATAAATCCTCTTATACTTTTGACTTGCTGAGTCAATGTGATCACGAGCAGCTTCATGTACCACTAAAAGTTTGTCCCTTAGTTGGTTACAGTAAGTAGTATGGATAGGATCTTGGGACACCCCTTTTTCTGGACAGGGAGGGGGGCCTAGTACTAAATCGGCTGCTAGGAAGGGAGTTCTTCCAAACATTAATTCAGCAGGTGAAAACTTGGTGGTCTCATGTACAGCAGTACGAATTGCTGAAGCTACAAATGGCAGATAATCAGGCCAGTCTCTGTGATGGCTAGACACAATTTTCGATAACATAGCTTCAATGGTTTGGTTAGAACGCTCCACCATACCATCCGACTGGGGATGGTACGGCGTCGTTCTAGTCTTATCAATGTGCAAGATCTTGCACAGCTCTTGGAAGAGCTTTGATTCAAATTGTGACCCCTGGTCAGAATGGAGCTGCAAGGGTGAACCATATCTACAGAAAAATTCGCACATCAGTGAATTAGCCACAGTGGCTGCCTCCTGGTTTGGCATGGGTAAAATTTCGGGGAATTTTGTGAAGTAGTCTTCCACTACCAGGACATACTTAAAGCCTTCCTCAGATTGAGGGAGGGGTCCCAAAATATCTACTGCAATGCGTTCCAAAGGAGCACCAACATTGTAGACTTTCATGGGGCCTTTAGTACGTTGAGGGGGAGATTTCCGTTTCTGACACTGTTGGCATTCAGAAACAAATTTGGCAACATCTCCTTTAAAACCTACCCAATAATATCTTGGGCGGAGTCTGTTGATGGTTTTTGATACACCAAGGTGACCAGTGTCTAAGGTATTGTGTAAAGCCATTAGCACTTGGCTTCTAAGGAGCTTTGGAATAACCAGCTGCCAGTCTTCAAACTGAGTATCAGTGTGTACCCATTTTCGGTATACTACCCCATTCTCCAATTTAAATCGATCCCATTGGGACCAATACTGTTTCAAGAGGGGGGACTTATTACTGATATCAGCCCAGACTGGTCTCTTTCCACTGGCAAGCCAGTGTGTAAGAGTGGATATTTCAGGGTCCTCATTAACAGTTTTCTCCCATTCAGTTTGGGTAACCCCAGGCATCCAATTACATCCCGAAATGGGTGTATCAGGAGCTGGGGTGTTCCCCTTTGCATCTGCTTTGATCACTCGGATCATTGGCTCTGAGACAAGGTTCAAATGAAAGCTTAGCCTATTGATTTGAACTTCAGATGGATAGGAATTCTCAGGGGATTCACTTTGTTGGGGAATATCATTTTGTAAATGGTTAGCTAAGATTTCCACTTGTTCTGGAAGAGAGATCTTCACAGGTTGTACAGTGGAGTTTGGAATAATAGATTCCTTGGTGACTGGAACACGACCAAGAGCCACTTGGCGGTCACAATATCGACAGTCACTGCATGGAATTCTTGACATGGCATCAGCGTTCAAGTGTTTCTTACCAGGTCTATGCTTTATGGTAAAGTCATACTGGCTAAGAAACTCAAGCCATCTGGCAAGCTGGCCTTCAGGGTTTTGGAATCTAAACAACCAAGTCAGAGCACTGTGGTCAGTTCGAATAGTAAAATGTGTGCCATACAGATAATGATGGAAATGTTTGATGGCTTTTACTATTGCTAAAAGTTCCATGCGGGTAGCACAATAATTTCTTTCACACTTTGAGTGAGTTTTACTAAAGTTCTGAATTACCTTTTCTTGTTCATCAACTACTTGAGATAATACTGCCCCAGATCTGCAGGCACTGGCATCAGTGTCTAATATCAATTCTTTTGATAGATCTGGGTATTCAAGTGTTGCAGCATTGAGGAACAAGCGTTTAAGGGTTTCAAAAGCTTCATTGCATTTCTCACACCAGCGAAATATTGCCCCCTTGTCTGTTAGCCTAGTAAGGGGCTCTGCCACACCAGCAAAATTGGGGATAAACTTTCTGTAATAAGAACAGTGACCAAGAAAAGCTCTAACATGTCTGACAGTTCTTGGAATTGTCCAATCTCGGACTACAGCAAATTTATCAGGATCTATTGAAATGCCTTTTTCAGAAACCACATGGCCCAAGTAGGAAACCTTGGATTTGAATAAGTGACACTTCTTCGGGGATAGTTTCAAGTTGGCATCTCTCAGACGGCCAAATACTTGGGAAAGCCTGTCTAAATGTTCCTCTACAGAGGAGCTGTGAATGATTATGTCATCTAAATAGACCATGCATATATCAGTATTCAACCCAGAAAGTGCTACATTCATCATTCTCTGAAAAGTAGCAGGAGCATTGGAAAGCCCGAAGGGCATAACTGTGAATTCATAGAGACCCCATGGTGTGGTGAAGGCAGTCTTTGGCGCATCTGTGTCCTGCATAGCTATCTGCCAATAGCCACTTGCCAAATCAAGGGTACTAAAGTATTTAGCACCCTTGAGACTGTCTAAGGTATCGTCTATCCTTGGCAGAGGATAGGCGTCCTTGACAGTAACCTGATTTAATTGGCGGTAATCGACACAGAAACGCAAAGATCCATCCTTCTTGGGTACCAACACAATTGGTGCAGCCCAGGGGCTCTTAGAAGGACGTGTAAAACCCTTATCAAGAAGATCAGTTATGATTTCTTTGGCTTCGTCTTGTTTGGAATGAGGAATTCTTCTGGGAGCCTGTTTTATGGGCTTTGACTCGCCAGTGTCAATATGGTGTTGTACCATATCAGTTCGACCAATGTCAAATTTTGACTTGGCAAACAAATCAAGATTTTCAAAGAGGAATGTTTTAACTCGTTCAGCTTCAGAAAAAGTTAGGGATTCTATACTTTCAGCAAGTAAGCCCTGTATGTGTTCTGGGACTGATTCAATTAAAACAGCTTTCTCTTCTACTGCAGAAGTCAAGGTTGGTGTTGAATTACATTCATTTTCAATGGAACAGGTTTCAAGATCAGGTTTGGAGTTACCTGTTGATTCCATTGACTGAGCAGGATGAGTGATACTTTGTAAAACAGTCGGGCCCTTGTTAGTAGTATCATTCAAATTTAGGGGGGAAGTTGTATCCCTCTCAGTAGCCATTTTAGCCTCACAAGTGTTCCGGAAAGTTGAGCTAGCAGGGGCTTTAGTGGGGATATCAGACGTATTTTTATCACTTGGCTTTGCATGATACTGCACTGATGAAACAGGAAGTTCGTCATACACAGGCTCGCCAATGGCAATTGGTCTACCTTTATGCAACTCTACAGGCTGCAAGCCAACATTTGCAATACGTATAGGTATAAAGGGATTGCTTGGATTAACTAAAGTTCTAGCAATCAGAATAGTGGTGTCAAGATCAGGGTCAATGGGATTTTCACCTATCACAAGTGGTGTTTCACCCCAGACACATTGTGTCTTCCCAGGGACAACAATTTCACTCAAAGGGGGAATGGACACAGTGTCACACATTTCAATCTTACAATAGGAATTGACTGTACTTTCTAGGACACAGTCATAGAAGTCACCATTCAGTTTCAAAGTTGCTTCACGAACACTAAGTACTCCACAATGAGCTTCAAGAAAATCAAAGCCCAATATGGCAGCACATGACAGTGGAGCTACTAGAAAAACATGGAAAAACTTTGTGTCTCCGAGCTGAAAATCACATCTTACTCTGCCTAAGGCAGGAGAGCGACTTCCATCAGCCATGATTACATTTGGCAGATTCTCACCTTGTTCATAGGTGATTGATTTACCAAGGCATTTGGCTGTTCTCTCTGATATTAAACTTCCTTGAGATCCCGAGTCAATAAGAGCGGGAACTGTAAGGTGTTTGAATTTCAGTTCTAGACACAAGCCATTGTAGCCACTAGGATTTATAGAGCTGGTGGGTCGTTGTGGCTTAGATGCTGAATCGTGACCCACCGACTCAGCACAAGTTAGTTTTCCGATTGTCCAGAATTCCCTTTAAGGGCAGGACATTGGCTGATTCTGTGGTCTTCCCCACAGTAGAAACACACCCTAGCCCCAGGGACCTTGGAGCTAGGATGGCGTTTCTCACAATCAAAAATGGAATGCTCAGTAGTGTCACAAATCTTACAATATGTGGCATATTTCTTGGGTTTATGGGTATGTGTAGACTTTTTGTCCAATGATTCCTTCATTTTTCTCTCAATCATTTTTGAAACCTCTTCATGGGAAGGTGAAGGAGGTACAATGGAAGCACTCTGGTTTGTAGTCTGTGTGACCCTAACCGTTGGATCCTTGTAACTCTGTAGTCTCCTTCTCCTCCCTCTAAAGAAGGATTCGTGTTGGAGAGCAAGAGTTAAGGCTTCATTGAGTGTGGAGGGATTGGCGAAGGAGATTTTGGACTCTAAGTCAACATCATTCAATGCATCAATAAAGGCTTGTTTGGCTGCATTCTCAATACCTTTTTTAGGCATACCCAACATACCAAATGCTTTGCGCGATAATTTTCTTATATCATGAGCTAATTGTTCCAATGGTTCATCAGGCTTTCGTAATTTTGTTTTCAATATAGCTCGGGCATTATCTCCCTGCTGGGGAGGCTCATAATTAATTTGTAAAGCACTGATTATACTCTCCAAAGATGGCTGATCATCTTCATCGAGATCATCCAATGCATTAGCTGCTTCCCCTTCTAGGCTTCTTACCATATAGATAGAAGATTCTTCATCTGTCCACTTATTTAACTTAGAAACAAGACGGAATTGTGTCAAAAAGGCAGAAAGGCTACACTTTCCATTGAAAGTGGGTGGCTTCATGTCTTTTCTGGAAGATACAGGGGCTTTAATTGGACTATCAGGCTTGGCTGAAATCTCACTAGAAGAATCAGAACTGGGTAGTCTGGGCAATGCAGTAGATCGCTTGTTTTTCCTGATAAAGCTTGGATAAGAAGGCTTTACTACGGATTGATTCTTCTTTTGAGATCTAGTGCTTGGTTCAACCTCATCAAAAGCTGTAGTATAATCGTCAGTGTCACTCATAAAATGATCAGACCTCTGTCGATACTTTGCCTGACTATGTCTGCTTTTTCTGTCAAAAACAGAATAATCAGAATCTGACTCAGCAGATGTTAGCATATCAGCTTGAGAATGGAGTGTTTGTGGCAGTTTAGAAGACTTGATTCTCTTCCCAGACCCCCTCACCGGAGACAATGAAAGCTTCTGCCTAGTTCTCAATTGTCTAGTTAGAGCACGGCCTCTACCTACAGAGGGTCTATCTAAAGTTCTCTGTAGGGGTTGATTAGCATGGGGTATTTGAGCATCAATCCATGATCGAGTCTCAGAATATGAATCATACTCTGTGGCTTCATGGACTTTAGACTGCTGATTAATGCTAGCAGCACTCAAATAGCCAAGGCTTTTAGATCTGTGCTCAGAACTAGAAACACTAGAGTGGCTGGAAGGCTTCAATCTTGGTGATTGGGAAGGAGTATGGAATGATTGTCGACTCTTGCCTGAATCAGAGAAGCCATCATGACTTTCAGATCTACCAGCAGTATAAGCCCTAGTAGATGACAAAAAGCCTGGACCAGTAGCAGATGCTTTAACAAATGATTGTGTTAATCGGCTGGACTGCTGACTAGTGTAACCATGATAAGGCGTTTGAACATCTGGAGGCTTTGATAGTGATGACTTAAACAATTCATCACTCTGTTTTTTCAATGCAGTGGACTGAGGTAAGAATTGAATACCATCTAATTCATTTTTAGGCTTTGCAAATCTTTGACTACTGGACCCCAAATCTGGTTTCAAATAGGGAGCCAAACTGAGAGGTGAAAAACGTCGCTTAGCAGAAGCCCCTGTTCCATAGGCTGGAAAAGGCTTTCCAAAAGCTGTTTTAGCTGGCTTTCCCCCATAGGCACCCATTAGGGCTTCCCTTTCTAGGGATCCGGGTACACCTGCTCTGGGGGGTTCAAATGCTCCACCTATACTACTCACATTTTTTCCAACATTTTTGGGAAATACCAAATTCATCTCACTTTCTTGGTTCTTTGTCTCCTGCTTAATTTGAAGCAGGGGATTAGAAACCTTAGGTTTTTGAAATGAACTAAGCGTATCCCCATGTAATCTTGGAATGCGTGTCAATTTAACAGGCGGTGACAGTTTAAAAGGAGATGGTCTCCTTATTGGAGGTGGTGTAGTTGATTCAAGTGGAAGTGTATCATCTTGTGCCAGTTTCAACTCTTGTTCATTAAGAGGTTGATGGCCCAAAACTACTTCAGAATCATCAAACCACCCCGTTGGGATTAAAGGTTCAAAAGAGCCTGCATGTGATTTTTGGCTCAATGCAGCCTGTTCCGTTGAATCGGAGGAAGGTAACGGGACGCGTTTAACCATATTGAGCATGTTTGCTATATCCGACATTGTAAAATTACAATTTTAGTCGCGAATATATACAGTATTAGTGTAAAACATGTAAATGAGCTTGGGTTAATACATACAAGTATTTCATCTCAGCGCTAGGCCACCATTTTTTCTGTCACGACCCGTATGTGGTAGCGTGATTGGGAATCGGACAGAAAAGGAAGTTATATTTGATGTCTCAAATAATAGATATTGCATGTACTAGATTGCAATTGTTAATGTTTTCAATTCAAAGTGGGAGGGGTTAATTGAACAGAAAAGCCATTTACAGGGGCTGGATTAAGAACATGTGCTGCATGTACTAGATTGCAATTATTAGGGTTGTCAATTCAAAGTGGGAGGGGTTAGTTGAACAGGAAAGCCATTTACAGGGGCTTTATTAAGAACATGTACTGCATGTGCTAGATTGCAATGGTTAGGGTTGTCAATTCAAAGTGGGAGGGGTTAGTTGAACAGGAAAGCCATTTACAGGGGCTTTATTAAGAACACTATGTCAGAAATCAGCTGATTAGTCTGGTTAAAGATTTTCTGAGCACAGTGAAACTCGTGGGAATTGAACACTTATGAAGTCACAAGAATATGTTCACCATAGAAAGGTGTTCATTATAAATGCGTGACTTCATATGGACACATTGGTGTATGTGATAACAAGAGGTGTTTGATATTGCAAGTTTCACTGTAATCAGATGATATATAGTGGATCAAAGACAGATTTCACTGTAATATGTTGGTAAATAATATGTAGGGTAATCAGGCTGAGCAATCAGGAAAATTAAGAACGTTGCAAATCTTGTGTGACAATGCCCCAATTACCATGTGAGCAAATAATTAACTACCTGGACAGGCGTGCGATTGACCTTTATAGGAGACCTCTGCGAAACAAATTGGACAACAAGTGTCATCTGTTTTCCACTGGTCTATGCAGAAAGTACATGCACAAATCTCTTGCTCAGGGTAATGTTGGGGGTCAGTCAATGTCAGTAAGATTTTGCAATACAAGCAGATGTAATGGCCACAGAGTAGATATATTAGGTTAGGTGAGAAATTAGTGCAGTGGAAACAAAAGTGTGCATTTTGTAAAGCCATGGCATTAGAGAAATCAGACGTGAAACAACCTAATAAGTATCTGTAAAGACAATTTACAGTTGAAGTGTCTGTTCATAAATAACCAGCTGGCTACAAATGGGCTTCTGTCAATAATTTGAATTTGAATTCCAATACAACGGGAGGGGGATTGTGAATGATCTAGCTAGGAATAACTACCATCTAAGCTTTACCAAGAAATAAACAAACTCTGGCGTGTAAAGGGATCTTTATAAAAATGTATAAAAACAAATCTATTCTACTGTAATAAATTAACAAGTTCACAATGTTACAAGTCACTAACAGTTACTGGCAATGGAATGCATGTGTACACTCAAGTTTGAAACACCGCTGGTTTTCACATACAGAAGCCAAAAGTGAGAACTACTTTTTGCTGAAACTTGACCTTAAACAATAACACTGATCAGCTGATCGGAGCACGTTTAATACAACAAGTGTGTCCAGAAAAATTGGTAGAACTTTAAGTATAGGCCGTTAAGTATAATATGAATGCATTAAGTCAAATGAAAACACCAATATGTAGCCCACTTAGAGTATTGACATGTAAGTGTGGGAGGGGGTAGGTCAGTACCAGGGAAGTCAATTACAGCCCAAAAGGCTTCACGGGCTTCATAGGCTTGGCAAGTGACCTCAATGACCCTGTGTTAAATTGAAGTTTTCGTTCCCGATGGGCTGCGAAAACGTAGTTAAATTGGTCCACAATACTCTAATAAGGATTCATAACAATAAATGCGCTACAAATAGTGTCAAATTCTTGTATAAAGTTGAGTTTGAATGATCGAATAGTAAAATCAGTGAAATAACCCAGCAAGTTTCGACAATCTTGAGCAACCTAAATAAATGCAATTACCTGGCCTGTGCCTGTATCGCGACTCTCCATAATGTAATCAGCGGTATATATCCAGTAGTTATATCCAGAGTTTGAGTATCTTGTAAAATATCCAAAAGACGGAGAATTCAAAATATCGACTCGCCAGAAGAAGCTCGGATTCGCACCATGTAAAATATTTATGCGCTTACCTAATTGCGCTAGTTTGGGGCTGGAGAATATAGTTCCTCTGTTTAAAGCTAAGTTAAGAGTGATTGAAGTTAAAATACCCAAATATAGGGTAATAATATAAATAAACATGAGGTTTAACACATGAAATAGAGTGAAATACTTGAGTAATAACGTGTTGAAAGAGGAACTATTTCCCAGAACCAAAGGTCAAAGTGCATCCAATATGGCGGCAATAACAAAAACATTTAATTTGAAATTTTGAAAGAAAATGGTTAAACTCTGATATATGGAGAATTGCGATATCATTTAAAATGTGAGTATAAGTTAACAAAGTGGCGATCTCTCAAATCAACCAACTGACAAGAGTGGAAACGAAGTGCAAGATCGTCACATGTAGTGATAGCTTGTAGCAAGTGTATTTTGGCTTATCTTAGAAACAGATACTGATCCTAAAACATTTTCAATTGTATCAATGGCATATTTTGCTTATTCCAGGTATTGACCCTAAAAAATCTCACATTCATTTTCCAATGATGACCATTTACCTAAATTACCTTGTATCAATGAAGATTTCTGGATCGAAGAAAATTGATGAATCATCAACGTCCTCATCTTCTGTGTCATCATTGGTGGTTTCCTTACTCTCAGAAGCAATGGGATGAGGTTTGATTCCTAATGGAATCTTTTCATCTTCTTGCTGATTCAGCATTTTCATATTCACATCAATTCCTGGTGTGAATCTGTAAAATAAAATGGTAGAATTATTTGCCTTGCCTTTATTCAGACACATACATTTCAAATGGAAACAAAGGTGATGCTAATGAAACATGGCTTCTGAACTAGGGTGTTGTCTTAATTCAGGCATGTTCCAGAAAATTAATGGTTGTAAACCTGTATTTGGTATCATATTGAGACTTGGTGTTTGAATATACATTTTTACATTTGTGTATCTTGTGTCTAAATTTAGACAAAGGCTTTCCCATTTGAGAAAATGTATCAAAATAAACAAACAAAGGGGTTGATAACAATAGCTCACCGTGTGAGCTAATAAATAAATAGAATAGATAGAAAAACATATATCCTAAAGTTTACATGTTATCAAAGTAAATGGGAAATAACTAGAAATTGGCAAGTAGCAAAGGAAGAAGCAAATCCCAAATGAACACTTAACATTCATGAATCTGTATTTATCACAATACAATCTACCATCTACAAGGGTTTCAATATATCCCTATTGAACATTATTCATCAGCACTTCTGATCTTTAAACTGATTTTGTTTCCTATAATCTATTATTATTTGGCTTATATGCATGAGGACCTAAGACTGTTGACTCTTTTCTAGGGCATTCACCTAAGTACTGTGAAACCTATCAGACATTAACACTACTGAGATCAATGCGAGATCGGGAATAAACAGAAAATGTTCAGATTTTAAAGGACTTTCTGATAAAGTCAATAGAATATCTCTGAATGGTACTAACAAAGAGGATGCATCTAGAAGTGTTCACTTTAGGATGGTGTTCAGATATAGTACTGATAGAGGTTTCATTGTAACCATTGCAAATATGGTTCAATTTATGCATTTCAATGTCACGATGACATGACTTATATGTCAATATCAAGTAAGTAGGAGCTCTACATATCAGATGGGGTAAGATGCCATGCTTACAAAGCAATATATAGGTGACATTAAGGTCAATCTCAATAATTGTTTATATATTTTATATCTTACTTCGTTTTAATGGATTTCCATTGTATTGATCATTCATACATTAACCTGCAGATTTCTTTAGAAAGCAATTGTGGTTTGGTCTGGGGTACCTAGTGATATTTTGAGCTATAATGAGAAAATATACAATGATGAACAAATGGGACAAATATTGTATTAGTTACTTTACTATAAATGTGTCATTATGAGTATTGTTTTTCAATTGCTCAGATGTTTGCTTAAAACATTTGACTTTTTCTAAATTTAGAATATCACATTATTAGTACTACCAAATTAGACTGTCACAATTAAAAATAATACTCGTTTAATTTCTCACTCAGATCAGAAATAACTCGGTCTCGCTTCAATATCCTTGCCTGGCACACGTTAGACATAATTGAACCCTTGCATAACCTTTTTTTGACTAATTGGTTATGATTTGATAATACCCCAAAAAACAGTTTACTGCAGCGTTGGCAATCATACCTAGTCATATGTAGTAAAGGTATTACATGTTTCAGGTAGGTGGAGCAGGTATTTTAATTCTTAACTGATTAACTTTTTGAATTAGTTTAACGTCAGAAGAGCCATTTAGTTTTGGTAGGATATGATTTATTCAGTTAATTTTGCTATATTTATGTTAACACTTACAAAGTTTTAGTATCATTAGTTTTGAATGTATGTGCAGTGTATATACAAGTAGTATGGACATATCTAGTAAGATGAATATGTATACCTGAATTACGAAATGCTGCTTATGACCATGTTTTCCATACTTTTCTGCAATAAATGCTCCTCAACTTAACATGTCATCAAAGAATTAATATCAAAAGGGGTTGTATTTTGTTTAATTTTTCTAAATGTCATTTCTCATATAATTTGGCAATTGTAGGAAACATTTTGCTCATGTTTGTGCATGAATTCAGACATTGGTATTACCTGTAATGTGATCCTAAGACCTAAATACAGTATTACAGTCATTAATTTCAACAGCATCAACAGATATGTGTAGTTTACTGCACACGTTTACTTGTATAATCTAAAACAAGTGATTTCGTTCTCTATATTTCTATATTTCCTGTATGTCGTAACATATTAGATCAAAGATTAAACAACTCCATGATTTAACAGTCTCAATGTAAACAATTTACTAATTCAAACCTTTGAATTTAAATCTGATCCTGTGAACATTTGGAATAAAAAAAACTTATTTTGAGAAAAGATCAATGGACATATGGTTACTAAAAATTAATGCAAGTAGGTGCAACAATTAATGCAATGAGTCCATTCAATATCATTTCCATGATTCAACGATCATGGACCAGTGTCAAAATAGATTTAAGTTTGGATATTTCATCAAGACTTACATCTATTTATATTATCTGGATGAACATTATTTCAGCTGATATTCCTCTTGAAACATGGTGGATCTTAAAAATGTAAAAGAGGATTTCCCCTTTTTGAAGCTTTGAACTGATTTTACACTTCTTAATGCTGAAATTGATAGTTTATCCATACATTTTAAGAAAATAGGTATGTCAAAGAAGATGTTAAGCCAAATGTTGCCTTGATAGCTCAGAAAAAGTTAAAATTTTCCTATTTTATCTCTACAGGCCTCGTTACCCCTTTAAACTCAGTAGTGCTGTCAATAGTAAATTATGAATCAAAAAGTTATTTTTCCTTAATAAAGGTGGTTGACCTTTTTCTGGTTACCATTTTACTTTATGGTATTATATTATTTGATATTAATTACCTGACATAATCTAATTACAATGTATGATTTGCATAACATTTATCATGTGTGACGAACATGAGTTATGTGTGAGGGTTGACATTGCTGGTACAGAGCAATTGCAGAAAATGCATCCCATATTTTGTTCATTTATTTTATTTAGGTGTCCTTGAGTATTTCAAATACTTTATTCAGCTCAAATATTTAAATATTAGGTTTTATTGCATATCTTATCATACTGCAGATAACCAGACTTTGATCCAAATACTGATCTAGAAAGCAGACAACATGTTGCATTAATCTGTTAATCACATAGGTGCTTCAATATAAGCTATGTGTACTAGTATTGGAGTATTGAACTGTACTGTTGAGCATTGAGCAATTTGAGCATTGAGAGTAATGTTGTTTAAACTGTACAATGTACAGGCAATAAACCCACGTGGAATGAATCACTAATAAAGTCAGTCTTGAAATGAGAGGTATAAGTTGAGGACAAAACTGTATCATATTAAAATTTGGTTAACCAAGAGTTGTATAGTTGTATCAGGACTGAGGAGAGTAAAGCAGGATAGATACTCAATACTGAGAAAAGCACAACGTCTAAAGGTAAGAAAAAAGCTTTCAATAATAACTATGAATTCATGTCCTACAAATATGTAGTATTCCAATGCCAGATTTTAGTTTCTCAGGTGGCTAACTAGGTTTGGAAAATAGTCTGGAAATGTAATATTGTCAGTAAGTGTCTGATATCTGGGTCTTACTAATAGCATTGGGGACTTGGACAATTGATGTGTGTAAATGTGTACTTACAAAACTTGCCATTTAAGGACAGGGTGCATGTTGGGAAATTTTTTGCATTCCCCAATTGAGTCACATGTTATTTTTCAAACAAGAATAACTCCTTCCCCAAATTGTCTACATCTTGCAGGTTTTCACAAAGAGTGCACTTCTGTGCCTAGAAAAGCCTTGTGAGAAGATTTGTTATGTAAAATGTTTAAAAAACGAGAAAATTCAGTGAAAAAAATTTCTGAAAATTTTCTAAATTTTTTCACTGAATTTTCTTGTTTTTTATACAATTTATCAAAACATTCTTCTCATAAATCTTTTCTAGGCACATAAGTGCACTCTTTGTGCAAAACTGGAAGATATAGACAATGTGGGGAAGGAGTGATTCTTGTTTGAAAAATAACATGTGACTCAATTGAGGACTGCAGAAAATTTCCCATCATGCACCCTGACCTTAACCCTTAGAAAGAGAGTATATGTAAAAGTCAAGTCTTATTTACTGAGAGAGATCTTAATCTATTCAATTAATCAACATAATTTTAATAAAAAATCTCATTCCGGCACCTTAATACTAATATGGACCCTTACAAGATTTCTGTGGTTTTTATTTTGGTAAAACTGCTCATTGTCGCTTTCCACTGGGTCTAGAGATCTGAGGTAAGACACATGAAGAACAACTGATACTTTCTGAATCAAGAAAACTGATGTGAAGTTTGGAAAGCTGAATATCAATGATGATCCTCTAATACAGAACATATCTCTCTATCAGCTCTGATTCAAGTTCCCAGGTCAAGATGACCTCAACTCATATTAGATAGAATGTACTCAACAACTGATAACATGTGTTCTTCATTATCAGTAATTGGTGTTTGGATCACCAGATGGGGGTGTGTTGAGATTCTGTTGACTAATGTTGTTTAAAGAATACAGTGCAACCTGGAAAGAACACCTCTACAGGGTGTCAAATATTATGTTCTCCTCTCCTTAGCTTTAGCATCTACATAATGTTGGATAACATTTTATCTACATGATATCTGGATTGTTCTTCAGCACATCAAAACTATATTCACAGAACTCCACAGGAAGTTTCAGATGACTAGCTCAACTACATGCACAAACATTCATTCTCTTGAAATTAAGGGGGGAACATATTTATTTGACACCCTGTAGAAGTGGAACACCTCTGTTAGTGGAACATTTTTCTGAGTCCCAAGAACAACTGACTGTTAAATGAACCTCTATAAGTCGAACACCTCCCAAAATGGAACAGTTTTGAGAACTACCAAAGGTGTTCCATTTTGACAGGTTTTACTGTATAAAGTATATAGCTTGTGAAGAGTTAAATTCTCCCTTGTATTGCATCAAATGATCAAATGATCATGATAGATTTATTCATGCTTAGCTAGATGAATAGGTGATGATGAGTATTAGATAGTCCTGTTCAGGCCCATAGCCAGGATTTACCAAGAGGGGTTCACTTTTTAAGAAATTCTAAGGGATTCACTTTTCATAACTTCATAAAAATGGCCAAAAACTGACAGATGTTTATAGTGCAATATGTTTATCATTCAGATACATTTTTTGGACAACCCTATACATATTCATTTATATGATATATTATGTAATAGCTTGAAGAATTCAAAGCTAACCTAACTGTTCTCAATAAGCAGTATGTTTAATCTATGACAAAAACATTTCAGAAACTAAGGAGAATTTTCATTGTTTTCTTTCCAGGTTGAGAAAACTGAATCACACATTTCAGAATGGGAGACATCACAAGTCCACCGAATGGTAGAATCGGGGTGGCTTTATTTGGCTTTGGACGCGCAGGAAACATCCATTTTAAAAATCTCATTCAGAACTACAGAGTGGACCTAATGTATGTGGTTGACCTTGAGGTTGAGAGGACAAAGGAGGTCATGTCCCAGTATAACCAAGAGACAGTACAAGTGGTGTCTCCTTCTCAGGCACACATAGTATATGCAGATAAAAGGTAAAAGACAACATCAACAATGACCCAAAAGAATCATCAGCCTACTAGGTCCACTTTAGGTCCACAGAGAATGTGATATAATGCCACATGAGTTTAGTTGATTTATTTTTTGATGAACAGAAGATACCAAGAATTCTTTGAACATTTGAGGTTTAAGTTTGAATTTCTTAATACTCTCCATTCTAACTCGCAATGTGAGTAACAAATGAAGCAAAGCATTATAAACACTGGTAAAGTGAAGATTTGATGACCCAACCCGGGGCTATATTTTTAGTATAATGTTAACATTTTAGCCATTTCAAAAAGCACTCTGGATAGAGAGTCTGTCGAAGACACGAGCTCTTGACATCTTGGTCATGTAGTATATAAATGTTTCTATGTTTCAGTGTTTCTGCTGTTGTAGTATGTTCTCCTACATATGCTCATGAGGAAATTGTCAAAGATGCACTGAAAAATGGTAAAAATAATATATCTGGTATTTTCTAATATTCACACCCTAATGTCACAGCATCAAGGGAATTATGTTCTATATATACCAAAGTACATGAATTACAGCCTTAAAGCTTTTGTTTTCATAATAAAAAAAGGCTCCTCAAGTAATCATAAATATCCTTAATTCAAATGCTCTATTAATATATGTTTTGATTTCAACCAAATATGTATTTATATGTGTGGTTATAGCCAAGGTAACTTTTGTGTGTTTTGATCATAGCCATTAAGGTAATATTTTATTTGTATGTTTTGATTACAGAAAAGGCTGTGTTCTGCGAGAAGCCTATAGCTGAGAGTGAGGAGGGAACTGCATCATGCTACGATGAAGCGAAGAGAGCAGGGAAACCTCTATTCTGCTCATTCAACAGGTATGTATCGAAACTACATCACAGAAACGCCATGAGACATGTATCACCAATCGGCATCTTGGTAGTTTAAAATATATGATTTTTTACATATATATATTGCTTAGACCCTTATTTATCCATAGGCCCCTTCATTATACCAGAATAACTTTTAATAAGTCTGAAATCATGCCCTTTTCTGATTCCTTCTATTGATGAAATGGTTAGTAAGACAACTTTGTATCCAATGAACTTAAATAAGTAGGTCAGATCTTTAAAGCTGACACTTCGTTTCACCTTTTGAAATTGGAACCCAAAATGTGTCATTAATTTTTATTAAGGAGAGGACTTTGAAGCTCTTGATTGCTCAGCTGATATACTGTTGAGTTAAATGATATGCAGTAAAAGTAAATCTTATTGCTATGTTCTTATTAACATTCTCCATGTATTACACTCAGTTCATGGTATGACACATATAGTACAAACTGAAGTATTGTAGGATTCTTGGGCCGCTGTTGGCATGTTTCGGTTAGGAAACTTTTCTGTTCCCCTTTTTTAAAGAAAATTAATTCAGAAAATATTGCAATTGGGGAACATACAAATTATTACCATAGAAGCAAGTAAATATCTTGGCAAAATGGAGTCTCATAAGCATATTGTTGGAGCTATTTGGAATACCCAACGATCGATGATGTACATCTAATAACAAATACATCTAATCTGAGCTTTGTCTTCACTCTTTCAGTTTATAATAAATCTCTGAATTCACCGAGCCATTCAGAGTTTGTCATCGAAAAATGGACGTCTTTCTATATATGGTCATTTCCTCTGATGCCATCGCATAGTTAATGTGCACACATTTAGCATGTGTTCCTTCCAGTTTGCTGATTGGTTGAGAAAGGTCAGGGCGGTAGGTTTGAAATGATTTATGATCCAGGCTGTAAAGGGCACCCGTCGTGGGGGCAGGGCTGCTAAACTGTAATATTGTCTAGATACTAGGCAGATGGTAGTTTTTAACTAGACTGCATGCAGTGTATTCATGTAATGTTCCGTAAAAAGACTTACCATCAACTTGGGTATTATTTCACAGATCTTTGTCCCTCAGCCCATCAACTGCAAGTAAAATCATAATTTTATAGAATTCAGCATATATAGTGCATAAAATATGTACTGTGTGGTAGTATGTAGTACATGTTACTATAGTTTACTATATTGGTATCTAATATGTTCTTTCAGACGTTACGACCCAGCGCTGCAGTCTATCTACAGAGAAGTGAAGGCTGGGAAGATAGGACAGGTACAGACCATCAAGACATGTGCCAGGGATTGTCCACTACCTCCCATTGCATATCTTAAAACTTCTGGTAAATGGCAGGCATTCCAACTCATTTATTATGATTGCTAACATGTTTTTATGGTCAAAACTGCATACTGGCCTGCCTATAAGCCTAGGGCTTGATCTCGAAAAATTAATTAATTAATTAAAGTTTAAAGGACAAACGGTTTTCTTACAATAAGATTTCTTGTACTATTCTAGCATGCCTGACAACAATATAGCACGTTTCCAAGTGTAATAAAAAATATATATGGATTATGAACACTAAAGAGGCTAAAGATCTGTATATTATTGTATTTGTATATATTATATATTTGTATTTTCCAACAGGGGGTATATTTCATGATTGTGCGGTACATGATATTGACTTGGTATGCTGGATTCTTGAAGAATACCCTTGTTCTGTGTTTGCTATGGCCCATGCTCATGTACCAGAGATTGCAGCAATGGGAGATGTAGACTCAGTGGCAATAATGATGAAATTTCCATCAGGAGCAATAGCAACAATAGACCTCAGTCGGAATGCCAAATATGGTTATGATCAACGAATTGAGGTATGTGTTCACAAAATGTATGCATATAACCTAAACTGTATCATACTCATTTGGCTAGCGTATAAACCCCTGATTAACTATTACATATAATTTTCAGTATCAGCAAATTTTTGAATTACGAAGCTTGATATCAATAAAGTTAACTGTATCTTTTTCCGAAGGCATTTGGCGACAAGGGCATGATAGCTTCAGAAAACCAACAACCTGACAATGTCCAGTTCTCTGGAAATGATGGCAAACTATCAACACCAATACAACATTCCTTCCCGACAAGATACAGAGAGTCATACATCAATGCTTTACAACACTTTTTAAATGTTCTACAGGGTGAGATAATGTTTAAATATTTATTTCTGATAATTTCAATAAGATAGCTACATACAGTATATACGTACATGCAATTACTTGAACTATCATTTAAAAATACTTTTCAATGCGCCAGTTCACAATAATACAAATGCAAGTATATTTCAGAGACAACTTTTGCCAAACTATTTACTTGTCACTTATTTTTTCAGGTAAAGAAGAGTTAGCGATAACCAAGACATCAACACTTAAGTGTAACAAGGTTGCGACAGCTTGTGAGGAATCATACAAAACAGGAGTCTCTATCCAACTTAACCTGAATAATGGAGATTTGTAATATAGACAACAATGACACTTTATGACATTGTGAATGATAAGTTAAATAATTCCAGATAATACTGTATTATAGAAATGATTACAGAAATAAAAATATTACATATGCAAATATGTGTTACACATTATAAACACACATTGTGAAGGAAATATTCAAACAACCTTTATTGGATATGACAGTGCGCGAAATAGACGTCCGACATCGGCCATTGGCCTGACAAAATTATAGATGGCTTGTTTTGATAAAAACACCCAGACATTTTGGCCTGCTAGACATTTGTGGCATTCGTTAGATTGCCCATGAATAGAACTTACATATCAGTCCGGAAATCCTCCGAATTCCCTGCGTTTTCGGCTTATTTCATGACTTTTGTTGAAGATTGAAAAACATTTCAAAATATTTTTGTTTGGTACCGAAGCACAAGATATAATGTGACTTTCGATTGGCTGTTGTTGTTTGTTGAAATTACGGTGATTTTGATTGGCTATGAATGACTCATTTCTTAATTGTCGTTCGCAAATCGAGTGCATTATCAGTATGCCGGATGTAGGAAAGAAATTGAAAAATCGAGCCGGCATCTAAGTCGAAAAAGTCGGCAGTTTGGAAGTATTTTGGGACTCCGATATCACAAGGTAAACGAATTGGTGATAGTACACCATGCGGGTGCACCCCAGTTGTCCGAAACCCAGTTCTCCGAAACCCATTTTTCCGAAACCCAGTTCTCCGAAACCCAGTTGTCCGAAACCCAGTTGTCCGAAAAATTTAGTCATAATTTACCAGATAAAGGGGGACGCACCTCAAGCCAGTTTCATGTCATGTATTTGGCAAAATTAATGGCATGGACGCATTCTGATGTATAGATCTCTCTCTCACTTTGAATTGCATCCATTACACGGCGTTACCAGAATGACAGGAACGGGGGATTTATTTTACATTGTGATTCTAAAAAAGGTCATCAAAACACAATATATATTACGGAACAGTTGATCTTATCTTATTCAATACATTTCATATAGGCAAAATAAAATGAAACATTTTGAAACCGATAAAATAAGTTAACGCATAAAACTTTAAGAAAAAATAGTACACATATTACGTTGTCAAAATGTTTCGTCGCATTTAATTTCTTAGTCTCTGTCTCTTATCAAATCGTAAAATGTAAAAGAACAAAACATTCTAAACGTAATCACTTGGGATTAACTGGAAACGAAGACAGGCTGTCCTCGTATCAAATTGGATGTTCTCCCATTCGCAAGAAGTTTCATTTTCGCCATGTACTCACTTCATCTTTTTGAATTTAATCTCTATTTCTCGAACAGAGTACCTAAATGAAGAATAATTTTGGGTTTCAAAAGATGTACACGACATTAACTTTACTAAATAAATGCCCACTGGCTTGGGAAAACTATTTCCCTTTTATGAACGCCCATCACGCATTGGAAAAATGTTGTTCCCTCTCAAAAAGCCCCATGGGGCATAAAGAAAATTGGTTTAAAAATTGTAGACCCCTATGTATGTTAATATGTAAACGCCACTTTGCAATGAGAATAGCATAATTTAACTTTGTTTATTTGAAGATCTGTATCACCTGTATTTTCATCTTTCGACAGTTTTTATTAGGCTAAATACTAGCCCATGGAGGAATCGTTCAGTTGATATTTACTCTCAAATACACCCTTTACCAATGAAAGAGTGCTCGTTCATAGAGCTAGATGGATTGGAGTGAAATATGTCAAGTGGAACATTTCAGAGTGCCAAGACCAACTCATTAATGTTAAATGGACCTCTATAAGTAGGATACCTCCCATCCCACTTCATCCATTAACGATTAAGGCATTAACATTTACATTGTTACAGCCTGCCATTTGTTACAAACACCGGGTACTGACCCCTTAAATATAGGGTCTGAAGCTCAAATCTAGGGTCAAACGGATGGCAGAATATATAACTGTTAAGCAATCTTTGCCATTTCAATATATAGTTAAAATATTTAGTGAGGCAAGCAGATGTACGTATATATGTTAATACAAATGTAAGTTTAAGGTTTTATGACTGTAAATTGAAGCATTATAGATTTTTGGATATACATGCAAGTCCTAGAGACATATATTCAATCTTGCTGGAACTTATAGCAACTAAACATATTTGGAATCATTTTGAATTAATCTTTGTGAAATTCAAAATAGTCAAATGCTGTTTCAACATACTTGGATTCTTTTAAAGCAATCCAAAAATAAAAAGTGGCCAATTTCAAATACAAACTTTTACATTACATTCTACCATGCAAACAATTACTTCCAGTGGCGGATCTGGGAACAAACAAGGGGGGCAAATTCAGGTCAGAGAAAAAACTTCCCTAAAACCCAAAAGTTGGCCGAAATTTTGAAATTTTGAGGACCGTTTTCTTAAAAATGTTGGCGGCAGTCTTGAATTTTCACCAAGAAGGAGTGCGATTCGTGCTGGACAATGCGGTTCAAAATTTGTAGAATGTCCATATAAGTCTATGTGCCGAGAATCTAGTAAGAATATATATATGATCGTGAACTTTCGGACCCATTATTGACCGGGCTAACCGATGTCAACGTGATACCAATGCTGTCCTGATTCGCGAAGTTGCGACAAGATTCGTTACTAAGACATTTAATTTTTTAATTTTCGGAGAACTGGGTTTCGGAGAACTGGGTTTCGGAGAACTGGGTTTCGGACAACTGGGTTTCGGACAACTGGGTTTCGGACAACTGGGTTTCGGACAACTGGGTTGACCCCACACCATGCAGACTATGTGAAATGCCGATCACATTTGCGGCAGATGCTTTATATTTGATTTAATTGACGTATTTCTGAATGTGATTTTGAAAAGTGAAACTGAAAGTGAAAGTGAAACTGTCATCATCAGACGATTGCATCATTTTTAGTGTTCTGTCTGTCCCGTCCCGTCCCGAAAGTACCGTATCCCGAGACCATTTGTACCGATCCAAACCGTACCGAATTTTTTTGACCGTGACACCAATAATATACAGATATATACCTTGAATTTTAGTGGAGTCTGTGTACATAATATGTGTTTTTGAATACCTTGAAGCTTCTGATTTCTGAGCAATTCTAAACCGACCAAAATCAGTACAATTTAGTTTGATCAATATGTACATGTTCCTCATGTTTTTGCAAGGTGAATCTAGGGGGGATCAACACACTCAGGCTGTTGGTTAAGTCATCAAGTACAGTATAGTGAATGATACATGACATGCAATATGCAATTAGTTTTATCTTTGTTAATATTGTACTAAACTAAATCTCAATTTAGAGTGGTTGTGGAGAAATATGGTAATAAGTGAAATTTTTGGCCAGAGAAGGAAGAAACAGCCTGCCAAAAATTGGCCTGAGAAAAAATGATATGGCTTGTTAAAATCTGGCAGGCCTGCCAAAATGTCTAGGTTAAAAAAATCCTTATTTCATGCACTGTATGAGTGAGTTTTTACATCAAGATGAAAAACCTCACAATTACAAGTACAGTATCAATGTATTTTGGAACTTTAGACCACTGCTGACTTATTTCCATTAGTTTGACTGGCCTTTATTAGTAGTCAATTCAGAAATGATTCTCAAGACTAATCAAATCATGGATTAAATTTACTTCATCTATCTGAGATTCTCAGGGTAGACTATAACAGCATACAATACATCAGATTAATACTATGAAAATATATCAAATTCTGATCAGGATCAGACTTCTATTGATCTGATCTTTTTCTGCATTAAGACCCGATCTGATATACTGTAGTCATGATTGAGAAATACAAATGTTTGAACCATAATTGAACTAGATAAAGACAATGTCAAGGCTGATAGCATTGTCAAACAAGATCATTTACGTTTGAAATACAGCTAAATCAATCTATTAAATTAATCTATAAAGAAAAAATATGGGAGATGTAATTGTTACACAAATTCCGCTAAACAATATGAGGCATCATAATCAATTTCCCACTCTCAAAGTGACTCTATGCATACTTTTCAGTGTTCTTTGGCAAAATAAAGACTTACTTTTGATCTTCATAGTATTTCCAATGGATTGATAAGTACTTGATCATTAGACACCAAAAAACAGCTCAAACGGGTCATATTGGAGCTTACAATTAGATTATATCAAATAATATTTTCAATCCGTCAATATGTTAAGTTTTTTGAAATAAAGATGGCATAGTAATCTGTCTGTGTTTATTGACAATTCTAGCAAGGAGGATTGGAAACCAGAGTTCCAACTCCATATTGTTTAATCTCCAAGTGATGCGATATTGCTGATTGTGCCTGTATATTTCTACGGCTGCAGGGAGAATGAACGATATTCTCCAACAAAGCTGGCGTCATTATTGTCAGACATTTACCTGGCTATAAATTCACAATCAGCATTCAAAATATTTTAACTAAATGGCATTAATTAAGCCACTACTGATGTTGATCGCTACTTGCGTGATTTGAACTTTTTTGTTTGGTAATACGATTCCAACTTGCGATTCAATTTTTAAAGTGAGAAATAGCGACTCCAGGACTGATGCTAGCTTTGTTGGGGAATATCGATGTTGCACTGTTGGCTGCCAATCCTCCTTGCTCTGAGAGAAAAAGATAATATTGGATTCTGGTACTGCCATCTTTATATCGGCCTAAAACCCAAAGTTGTGGTAAGTTTAGCAATTTATCATATAAGATTCTATTGGGACAAACATATCACACATATTAACTGGTGATTAAAAGAAATCAACTCCAAAAGTACCTCTAGGTTCAAAAATTTTATTCTCTCTAAGATTTGGTCAATTTAGTACAGGAGCATCCCCGTCTCGAGTATAAGGTCGAGACTCCTATACTACCTTTTTCACAACCTGACTTGCTAGAATTAAAATTCTCGCGAATTTATAAATGAAAGTCCTATTCATTATTCTATTTCTAGTGAGTCAGTCAGGTTGGGAAAATGTGATAGTTATTAGCATGTAGTAATTTAAGTCACTAGAAGCAAGGCAGCCCCGTTTATCCAGTTTACAGCCACCAAAAAAGCTAGATCGAAAAAATCAGGGAATAAAAGGAATCAATATATTCCTGTATTTCTGTTTT